TATGCAAGTTTGGTTTATGTGAACTTTCTTGGGACTGAAAACCTTGCATGCTTGTCATTTTTGCCTTAATATTCCCAGCTAAATTAGAGGTACATTAATACAGTAGTTTAGACAGACAGACAGACAGGTAGACATAGACAGATTTGGTGATAGACAGACATAGAGATGAAAATATGAAAGAGATACTGATAGATATAGATAAATGTACTGTACTGTATATAGATTGATAGACTGACAAATACTTTGGTAAATTTACATTTTCAACCAATATGGCTCACGAGTTGAGCAATGTGTATTTCCGATGGTTTAGACAATTTTAAGACACTTATCTTCTATGACATTTCCCTCGCAAATGACCTAAAATTACTTATCCTAACCCCCTAACTGGGAGGTCCGCCCCCCTGAATCCCCTGGTATATTTAAGCCCTTTGTGAGGGAAACGTCAAAGAAGAAAAGTGTCTTAAAATTGTCTAAACCAGGCGTGGCAAACCTGCGACCATTTATTATTTATTATTCTGGAGTTGGGTTAGGTAGAATTTATCCTACTGGAGACAGCAACTGGGTGATTCATTAGCTTACGGGAAACCACAACTTCACATATAGGACACGGGCTGATTTTTTTTGCCATTTTTCAGACATAAAAGTGCATTTTATATGCTGTAAAATAAGGTAGTAAAGATATGTTACTAGTATTATATCTTCTACTGTACCTACACATTATTAGGGGTATATTTTGGTCAGTTAGGTGATGCATCTTGGGGTCGTGGGATGAAACTAATTTTTCCCCTAAGTTATTTGTTTCAATATGTACCGTTTTGTTTATCACGGTAGTTTTCTGGAACCTAACCCCAGTGATTATCAAGGATACATGATAATGTTTCTTGGCATTGTAAAATAAATACATGTGTCTATAGGTTGTTTCAATGTAGTTCCTCATATACCAAGATTAACATTGTCATTATTCTGGTGGGTGTGTCTCATAAGTAAGACAAATGCTGTAACTGTAGGAAAAACCAATGTATCCACAGACTGCTTCACTCATCTTGTGTTAAAAGCCAAGAAACATTAAGATATTACTTTAAAAATTATTATGGTGGATTGTTTCATAAATGGGAAAGATTGTTATTGTAAACTGAAAATATCGTAAGGTGGAAGTGACGATAAACCGCTTCACTGTCCGTACTAATACAATATTAACATTACTTTTGGGTTAGGTAGGATTTAAATTTTGGTGGGTTGGCCCGCAGAAAATTACCTAAATCATAATGCAGCCCATGACTGAGGAAAGATTGCCCATGACTGAGGACAGGTTGCCCATGACTGAGGACAGGTTGCCCATGCCTGGTCTAAAACATCAGAAAAACACATTGCTCAATTCAAGAGCCATATTGGTTGAAAATGTAAATTTACCAATACTTGTATTGATAAATAGATACAATAAATAAAACAGACTGAGATAGGTATTGATAGATATACTGAAAGGCACATAAAGACAGACAGACAGACAGACAGACAAATGACTCCTGTAGTTTACCTTGCCATATGTGGTGGTGGTGCTGTGGTAGTGGTGGTGGTGTTATAGTGTTCATTGGAAATAAGTTCTACAATGGCAGCTTTTTGTCTCAGCCTGCAGTGATCATTTTCAGTTGTGATGGTGCTGTTCAATTTCCCAAAGGTCGTTAACTCATCTGTAACAAACAAAAACAATTAATATACACAACAGTTTATGATAAATATATGTCCATAAATTAATAGTCATTCAGTACAGAATTTGTTTGTTTTATGCAAGTTTGATTTATGTCAATTTTCTTGGGACCGTAAACCTTGCATGCTTGTCATTTTTGCCTTAATATTCCCAGCTAACTTAGTGGTACATTAATACAGTAGTATAGACAGAACAGTACTTTAGACAGACAGACAGACAGACAGACAGAATCCCAATTATCCGGCATCTACGGGGATTGAGAGGTGCGAGATTAACAGGTTTTCCCGTGAGTTCAAACTCGCTCTCAGGATCCCCAATAAATCCTTCAATACACAGTGCTACAGGCTGACCTCACAAATTTGTGTCTTGGAATTTTGAAATTCTTTAACTCTTATTAAACTCTATATATATGATAAGGCTTATAAATAAAGAAAATATAATAGTATAAAACTGCACAACGGTACAACTTTAAATTCTGATTAAGGATCTGGGTTCACAGTTTAAAAATTCAAGTAATTACAGTAGTTTTAATTAATGAAATTTGTAATAATTAGATATTCAGAACATTTAGAAAGTCAGTTACACTGTGCCCATAAGTTTTTAATCACCTTGATATACATTTTTTTTTAATAAATAGATACTGACAGATATTGGTAAGACATTTAGTATATACATTGACAGACTGGCAAATACTTATATTGATAAATAGAGTGACACATACACACACATATATATATATATATATATATATATATATATATATATATATATATATATATATATATATATATATATATATATATATATATATATATATATATATATATATATATATATATATATATATATATATATATATATATATATAAAACTGAGAGATAGGTATTGATAGATAGATATTGGTGGATAATGGGTAGATAAATTGATAGATAGGTATACTGAAAGGCACAGAAAGGCAGACACACAAACATAAATAAGCAGTTAGATCAGTGGTTCCCAACCTCTTCCGTTCTGTGACCCCCAGACAAAACATGATAACTTCTGTTGCCCCAGTCTAAATCTTTCTTCGATGAAACAAACTAAATGTCACTGGAAAGAGCAGTTGGAAATGATACTTTAATATTATTAGTTGTACATACAGTACCAGTAGCTATATAAAATAAAACTGCCACACAATAAAAGATTCCAAGTCATGGATAGTGTTTCTGAACAATTTAAACCTCTGTTGTGTCTCCAGTAAATGCTGTGTATTATAATCACACATAAATAAAATCAACTCCAAAACAACTTGGGCAATCAAAACTATGGACACTGTGCCTGTGTGTATAATTTACACGCATGCAAAAAGAATATTAAAAAAGTTAATTAAAACTCAGTGGGTTGGATGACATTGCTTTTTGTCATCAATTGTGGCATCAGTGGTTTAGTCACAGTCAGGGCACAGTGGAGGCCATCTTCCAGTGGAATTGATAGCGCTGTTTCTATTTGATGCTCAACAGCAAGAAAATACCCGCTTCACAGAGAAAGGTAGACGAGAATGGCAGAAGCACCACGATAACCAGTTTGCTGATAATAAGGTAACGGCCCATTGCCACCCAAAACTCTGTCAAGCATCATTAGCTCAGATGGTTTAAACCAGGGTGCAACCTTTATACACTAATCAGCCACTTTGTAAACAAGAAATCAGCCATCACACAGAGTAGCCCCCAATATCATGAGCATTTTGAAGCCATGTGCACTTGATATTAGGGGATATTCTGAAGTCAACAGTAAATAATTTTTGCTATACAAAATGCCCGAGTACAACACTGGATTAAAGAAAAAGTACTGGAATTTTCTAGTGAAATGGGGGTCCAGAACCCCCAGGACCCCCCTGGATCTGCCCCTGCAGCTGTACATCACCAAGAGCACAATACAGTACTACCACACTGAAAACACTGCTACTTGTTCGAATAGCCAAGTTAAGCAACGTTAGTACCTAGATGGGTGACTGCCTGGCCCTAAGAACACCACATGCTGCTGGCATAAAGACTCTACTGGAAATAAGTATCTCATGTCTTTGTCAGCTGTCCTTGATCAAATTGTCTGAATATTATCTTTAACCTCATCAATATATGGCTGACAATGGCTGCCCTTGTCTGCTAAATAAGAAAAGGATTTGAAGCAGATTTTCAACAGTAATTGTTATAAGTAATTTATGTACTAGCATTGTCAGGTATAATTTACCAGTTTAATAAAGAATATCAGGTTAGGTGTTTCCTGCATCAAGTGTTCCAACATTCTTATCTTACCTTATCAACTTGGCCGGCCGCTCATCACATGCTATAATGCCGGCCGCAAATATGAGGGTTGCAGACCCCTGGCACTCTGCTAGTTAGGTCAAGCCTTGTTTACTTTTATTATGAACTAGCATGGTTTAAATTACCCCTATGGTCAACAGGCTGGGAACCACTGACTGTTAAATAGATAGAAAGATATAAAGAGGAAGACAGACAGACAAATGACTAACAGCAGCACAGTTACAACAACTTGTCTTAAGAGTTTGACGGGCACAAAGATTTCCTGTATAGGCTATGAGAGCTGTTCCTTTAGTTTACCTTGCCATAGGTGGTGGTGGCAGTGGTGATAGTGCTGGTGGGAGCTTTTGTTCCATGCTCCAGTTATCATTTTCAGCTGTTATGGAGCAGTTCAATTTCCGAACATTTTGTTGTAACATCTCCTGTAACAAACAAAATATTATATTTACTATGAAGACCTAGGGGAGGTTAGGCTAGGTTAGACCCAGACAGCTGATGTACCATCCATTATCAATATCTTAGGTATTATTACAGTTTCAGCCACAACTCAGAGCAATTTTGTGCTTTCATTGGTACCAGATATCAAAATACCCCCACCTTAAGTACTTTCTGTTTAATATGGGACGGCTAGGAAGTTAGGTAAGGTTATGATTAGGATTCTTTGGATAGTTATGTCAGGTTCTATGGGGAGAGGAGGGGGGTGCTTCAAAACTACTCATTTCCCACTGATATGAAGGTCAAATTTGAATGAATCACACCAAATACCATAGAATAAACAAAACTTTATGGTAGAACAGTAGTTGTGGCTGAAACTGTTAATTTACATTATCTTCAAACTCACTTAACACGAAGTTGCCAACACCTAACTTAATATTGAGTCATATAATTATGGGGAGAGAAAAAGTAAATAAAAATAATTTAGCTATAACGTTTCCGTACGAAATTTATAGTTTTGAGTTATTTTAAATTTTATTTTATAATATTTGGCCAATCAGTGTGAGTGCTGATGTGCCGTAATACTCATAGACGAAAAATGTCTTAGAATTGTCTAAACATTACAAAATACATATTAAAAACAGCAAGAATGATCTGTGTAAGTCTATAAATTGAACTTTGGTTGCTGTAATCTGCAATTTTACCTTAATATTATGAATAATTGACGGTAAAATAGTCATATAATCCCTGCCTACATGTTATGTCCTGAGAGCAGTTCTCTTACCTTGTCCAAAATGTTCTCACAAGAATTATAAAGCTCTACCTCTCTTACAACACCATAATCCCTGCACACATCTCCATATTAATACTAACAACACAATATTAAAGCTATACATACCTCACAACACATGGCTGCTGTGTTTACACGGGAGAGCACCAGCCACGCTCCCTGTCAGGTAATAGTTTTGGCATTAAATTTATTTTATAAACGCCATTAAAATTATAAAATTACTCCAAAATATTATTAATTGTGTAAATTTTGTCAGTGTGTGTTGTTTGCCAATAATGCCTTAATAACCTTATATAGGGCCTCCCTCAGCAAGATGTTTCCACTTCACTAAATCAACCGAGAAAACTAATAAAAATATTTTCTCGCCGATTCTTGAGGATAATGATATTACCCATATTTATGTAACCATAAAATTTTTCCTTGGTGTATTCAGACGTATTTTACTGAAATCTAACCTTCATTTTTGGGCAAATGAGCAAATTTCGTAAAAAAAAATAAATAAAAATACTGTATATATATATATATATTATATATATATATATATATATATATATAATTTTATATTCCACTACTGATTAATGTATGTGAATTTTTTCTGTTATATATTTATTGTTCCTATTTTCCTTTTGTTTTATAACTCATGTAATTTTCTTTAATTTCCTTGGTTATGTTGTCCAAGTTATTTTTTTTAATATAATCTTAAATTTTCTTAGTTATATTATGTTTTTCCTATATTTTTGGTCTTTATTTCAGTATGTTTATTACTTTATTTTCCATATTTTACTTTTCTTACTTAGTTTATTTCTTTCAATGTCATTATTTGTTTATTATATTTTCCTCTTAATTATTTCAATATTTATCAGTACTTATTGTTTGTGCATTTCCTCTTACTTCTGTAGTGGACGTCTCCCCTACAACTGCGTAGCCACAGCCACCACCTGTTACCGCCTTCCCTAGCAACCCACCAGATGCGCCGCCGTATCCTAGCAACGAAACTGGGAACCAGCGACTTCTCGGGTTTTCCCAACATGACTCATAGCGGCTGCTGGGTATATAAGCTCTGTCTCTCCATTGAGATTCATTCTGACCATTCTTCTTGAACAAGCAACACCTCCTCCTCCGCCTGGCTGCCTTCGCTTCTCCTCGCCTGCCTGGCGGCCCTCGCTCCCGCCAGCGAGCATGGCGACCCACCAGCTGTCCTTCTCTGAGCTTCCTCACCAACCAACTCTCATTCTGCCCATCTTCCTGAACAAGCAACACCTCCAGCACCAGACTGTCTATCATATAACTTATATTATACAAGAAAACCACATTAGAGTTTCCTTCCATCCTGAGTGCTAGACAACATTAATATCTCGATACCCCTACACTTCTATTCTCAGCTGTAGTCAGTAATATTCTGTTCAATGGATTAACCTGGGAAAACCGTACCATTCTTTAACATCATCTCTTAGTATAATTGCTGTACTTACACGGTAGGCTGCCACCACCCAGGCTTTTATTAGAAAAACTGGTATCTTTTTTACTTTTATCCTCTTCACCACTGATCCGCTCGTTAGCTGCTTGGGCTAAGTGTTAGGTAGCGTGGTGGACGAGCTTAGGTATGTGAGTTACAGTGTTTATTTTAAGAGAAGCAATTGTTAGAAGGAAAGGAGTGATGATACTGTAGTGTGTATATGTGGTGCAGGTAGTCAACTTTCTCTAGGACCACATACACACATACAAAAAGGAGATCTCACACTCAGGATGGAGATGAGGAAGGAAATTCAGTATAGAGTTAACTCCAAGTATATTGTATGTTCAATGCAGTAGGATGCTGGGAGTTGCTGTATTGTGGAGGAGCTTCTTGAGAGGAGGTTCTTGTCAGCTTGAGAGCTTGGTGTAGTCGGTGAGGCAAGGAGGTATTGATACAATCCTCGCTACTCAGGAATCGAGGTGTGAAATGAAAGGCGCCGCTGATTGGCTGGGCGAGGACGGCAGGTGGCCAATCAGTGAGGACGGCGGAGAGGTTGTAGTGAAAGTAAGCCACTACAATACTCAGTCTACAAAATCAATATCTATTAAAATCAGATGTGAGTAGTGCAACAATTTAAACCTTTATCCACAACAACAAAAACTAGGTTCACTCACTGATCACTGCAACATTCAAACAACAGACCAACCAGCCTCTTCCCAGTGAGATGACAAACAGCAGTTGCTTATACTGTACTGTACAATTAAGCAACCAGCCTCTCGCCAGTGAGCAAGACTAAACAACAGTTCATTACGCAGCTGAATGGATCTGACAACAACAGCTGTCCTCAGAAGATCAGACACCCCAGTTTATTTAACCTATAGCATCATCCATCCTCCCCTAACCTCCTACTCTCCCTCACCAATGTTCACTTACTCTCCCTCCCTGCCTCTGACCATTGTGTCTGAGGTAGGATGAGAGAAGGGTGTTATCCAGTGTGACTCCCAAACATTGCAGGTTTTCTCGTGGTACTAACAAGTTCTCCTGTACTAACGCTGGACAACGGAGGACAATAGGGGGGGATTAAAAGTGGCTACTGGCTTCTTTCCCCTTCAAGCAGTGAATTCAAATTAAACTTTACTCCGGTAAACTCCTGATGTAATCATTCTGTCCTCCTGCTATCCACCCTTTCCTCCTCCTGCTATCCACTCTCTCCTCCTGCTATCCACCCTTTCCTCCTCCTGATATCCACTCTCTCCTCCTGCTATCCACCCTTTCCTCCTCCTGCTATCCACCCTTTCCTCCTCCTGATATCCACTCTCCCTTCCTGATATCCACTCACTCCTCCTGATATCCACTCACTCCTCCTCTTGATATCCACTCACTCCTCCTCCTGATATCCACTTTCCAACTTCCCTACTCTCCCCCTGAAGCCTTCAATTTTCTTTTAATTTGCCAGTCTTCCAACCAAGTGATCTCATTACATTTGTCCATCCTTGTAGGTCATAATATTATGGAAACAATTAAAACTCTACATATAAGTTCAGCAGTTTGTGTCTTTTCTAAGTTATTTCATACAATGACAGTATACAGTAATAGATGCTTATAGAGGAATGAGTGAAAGGGAAGGGAACAATTTACAATATAAAAATGAGTTGATTCATCTCCTTTTTCAAACATAACTGCTTCATTACTGTTTTTTAACCCCTTCACTACAGAGATGCCATAATATTTTAGTTGCCAATGCCAGATGATTTTATTCAGCTCAGAGGTGATACAATATACGAGGGATTAATAGGAGATACTGTAGTCTGAGAATGTAATGAAACGACAACACTAAAGTCACAATTTTCCCATAAGTTCTCCCATCAGTTACTTTGAAATTTTTTTATTAAGTCAATACAGTAAAGTACCTGGTTAAATTTTCATGATCCACAGTGTTCAATACTCACAGACTATACCCAGATCAATACAACAGGAGACGTTCATTCACTTCTCAATACTGTATTATAAGGGGCGAGGAAGGGGAGATGATGTCAAGTTTACAATTTACGACACATACACTACCACACTGTCCATGCTACCAAAAGAATATGTGACAGAACAGAGTAAGAACTATGAACAAGAGAAGTAAGTTAGATAAGGGTGGTGTAGGTGTTGGAAAACACACGCCCTTACAACACTATGTAAAAATTTTAAGGGGAATAATTCTCATTGACAATATTAAAAAAACTCCGCAAATAAATCCTTACAAAAATCATTGATTCTAATCACAAGAATTAACTAAACACATTCAAAATAAGAAATGGCTTATTCCTTTGTCCAGGGATGCATGTGTGCCCAGTTAGTTCCAGTGCATATAGCAACAGGCAGTGGAACAGTCAGGTGAACGAATGGCCCACACAGCTGCTGAGTGTTTTCCATTATAGGCTCAACTATGTCTGAAATGTTAAAATCAACAGCATACAGTATAGTAAATAGCTACAAAGTTTTATTATAATCTTATGACATTTTGCAGTACAAAAACTTCTCTGTATGGTCCACACAGTGAAAATGTTTAGATACAATAACCAACTTTTATGTACTGTAATGAAAAGAAGAAATGCTTTGAAAAGAGAGAGAGAGAAAAAAAAAGGATTTCATTAAAGGTATAAGATAATATTTTTGAGAGCAATATACTTTACTTTATGGAGTACAGTATAGTATACAGGACGTGAAAAGTTAAGAAATTTTATAAAGAAAAGAAAATCAACAGTTATGAAAATATATGCCAAAGAAAAGAAAATCTAATGTAAATGCAATTAAAAGGCAGGTGAGTGTGTTGCTTAAAAAAAGAGAAATGAAAGTTTACACAATAAAATAAATATAGTAATGTAAGGTTCTGTATCATCTTACCAATAACAGTGTCAAGGTCTTTGCTACACACTTCCCACACCATCTCATCATGTATGTGTATCAGCAGCTTGGCATCAAGGTCAGGGCGAGAGGCAAGAGCAACTTCTGTCTGTACCATGGCTGCTTTACTGATGTCTGCCGCTGAACCTGGTCACCCAGAAAATGATGCAAAGTTTATTAATGAGAACTTATAAATCTAACTGATTGTCAAGATTTACCGAATGGTCTTGATCAGCTTCAAATATGGTCATGAGAAAGGATGCCTTAGATTTTACAGTTAAACATGAAAGAGGCTGTATTTGGTCATAATTACAGATAGGAAATATAACACAAATCCCAGCAAAATTTAAACAGCGACACATCTAAGATTTTGCTTGTAAAAGTTAGGATGTGTAATCATATAACAAATGAATCTTGCCAATAATGTAGTTGGATATTTTTTTCACTGTAGCACACTGGTATTAAAGCCATATTCTATACTGTATATAATAACTCCCTTCACATGCTGTCATTCACTTTTAAACACAAAACTTCTCATGAGACATACTGTTACTGACAAACCTTGAATAACAAAGTTGATAGCTTGTCTCTCCGCCTGAGCCTGAATGACTGAGTCTTGCGACTTAATGCCAGGAAAGAAACGTCGACGGTTGAATATTGTCGTCAGAAAACCTTGGGACTTACAAAGATTAACTACAGACCTCATGTAGGCAGGGATACCAGGAAACCGTTCTGAAAATCATACAGTTTGTTAAATGTCATTTCATTTAACCTATAACCTATCAATCTCATTATGTCTCCTCCCAAAAATATCAGAAACTTCTAAGAATCCCCATAAAACAGATTATTTACCAATAACATCTTCAACTTATATTTCTTCTCAACACAGATGCAGACACAATATTTTACTACTAAGTATACAAGCTAAGGTAGTGGAGTGGTGAACCTTAGTTGCTTATAGATGACTACTCAGCAACATCTGGTGGTCACACATATTTTCTTAAATTGCAAAGTACAATACTCTACCATTGCAATAATTACTGCTTTTTAGTTTTATATTTTAGTACAGTACTCCATACTATATAACAGTACAGTATAGTATCTACCTTTTTGTCTTTTCCTGCTCCCTTTTGTCTATGGGTTTGCTTGTGCACACTCACTAAGACAGCTACCATATAACTCTTTACAAATACTCTTATCTTTCAGACAAGCAAGTGATGATTGCTGAGCTTGAGGGATAACAAAACCACCATGTTCTGTACAGTTCTCAGCAAAATTGTGCCTACTTGAAATTCTCTAAATACAAAAAGCCATGCATAATGATGTTGATACTGTAATTGTTAATACACAAATACAATATTTACATACAAGCTCAAACTGCTTTACTCTACTTACTCATGAAGGATGTTATTATATCTTTAGCGTCCAGGGGACTTATGTCGAGCACCTCTCCTAACTTTTCTCGGCCGGCTCCATAAACCACAGAATACACAACACGTTTTGTTCGTTCACGCTCACTTGTAGTTACCTCGCTCACATCTTTGTCCAGCCTAGACATTGTGATATATTTAAATCATTATAAACCAATCTGATGACAGCAGTGATACATATATTATCCAATAGTATCTCATTATTGATTAAATAAGAGAGATTTGGCTGTTATAATTTCAAACAAAAACATGAACTAACAACAATTACCAACATTTAATAAAGGAAGAATCACCATTTTTCATAGAATTTATAAACACCTGTACAGTTAACCTTAACAAATTGGAATTTTAAGAAAACAAAATTTTCAAGGACCTGCAGTACATATTCCTTTTTAAGAACCAGTAATGAAAATTGACTGCATCCAGCCTGTTGTGTTTCAGTGTTTACTGGTGGTAATGGATCCACAGTCTATCTCCAGCATAATCTTCATTTAGTGGGGCATGCTATAACGAACGGATTCTACTACGAATATTCCTATAACGAACGGATTCTACTACGAATATTCCTATAACGAACGGTTTTACCTATAAAATTGAGAATGCTATAACGAACGAAACTCCTACAACGAACAGTATTTTTTATCATTTTTTGTACTAATTTATTATTTTTTATTACAAGTATTAATGATATTCTTTATTTTAGGAGTTTAAATGCACATTTATGCACTTTTTTACAATTTTTACAATTTTATATTGTATTTTTCATTGTTAAGTGGTTGTATTTGGGGGCCCAGAACGGATTACCCCTATAACGAATGAGGTTCTAGAACCAATTAAATTCGTGTTATTGGTAATTTTATAAAAGAAAGACTTTATGACATCAACAGAGTTTCAAAATTGGTCACTTAAATAACAGTCTCCACAAACCGGGACTGTTTGAGAATCCAGCACAGCCGCAATCACAAGTTTCTGAATACTAGAAAGTTTATTAATGGTACCTAGCTGGGGTACAGATAAATTAAAACTGAATTAAAACATAAAAAGTTTACCACAGAAGAAAGATCAACTTCATCAGTGACTTTGTACTATTTGTTAATTTAAAAACTGATGGATAAGTGATTCTACAAATGTATGATTAAACAGATAAATACATACCCGGTACATTTATATCCAACCGCTTGGAATGGCCGGAGCTGGTAGTATAATAATCAAATCCAGTAAAGTATGCCAATGAAAGTTATATAAACTTCTGGCCCAGTGTACAAATAACTAAAAACAAACTTTATGCAAAAATAAGTTGTCAAATCTCTCCTAGTATGAAAGCCAAAATATTATTACTCTATATTTATCTATATTTATTTGACCATCCTTCAAGCTGAGTTGGAAAGCCATCACAGACATAGGAAGACATCAAAGTTTGTTTTACTTCTGAAATAACTCACCACATAGCAGATAGTTGTTTAAATATGTCTACAGTACATTTTTTTGACTGTTTAAATCCAGCTTGTAAGACAGAATCCTGGGACATGTGAGCTAACATTCGTAACTCTGTTTGTTGAAAGTCTGCAGCCAAGAGGATATATCCATCTCTGCTGCAGAAGCACTCTCGGGCCAGTACAACTGTTTCTGTGTGTCAGATATGAGGCACTCGGGGTAAGAGGGGCAAATCAACCAAATCTAGATTTAGACCTAACTCATGTCAAAAAATTTAACACAGTCTGAAATTACACTAAATTTCCTATTATTTGAGACTGGTTTCTTTAATTTCCTGTCGTGGGTCACAATTTAATGTACGCCAAAGAAAACCAGTCACATTTTGAAACATGATTTTGGTTGATTCACCGCTCTTTCTCCCATGGCTTTATAAGTTATTGATACAGTATATAAAAATCAAAATAAGTCATATGAAACTTAACACAGGATATTTTCTCAGCTATGGCATGTCAGACAACACAGGGCCATAGCACACAATTGGTACATCACTAATTAAGTTCGGTGGTGGGGTGACTGCCATTATGCAAAACCTACTACCCAATACAGTACAGTACAGTATAACAATATCCTGTATATTTCTCAAGCCTTAAGCCACACCAAAATACCTCTCATATACTCCACAACATTTTGTCCTTGCATCTCGCCCCTGGTCAAACGTGTAAGGAAAAAATCAATGTGGAAAAAGAGGATGGCAAAAATTTATTAAAATGTATTGTGGGGTACAAGTGAATAGTGAGTAATGGAGAAAGACAAAAGAAGCTTGTGAATGGAGTACAAGGTATGAAGATGTGAGAAAAACTCATGAGAGAAGATAGCAAGATGTTAAAATACCCAGTACATGAACAGAAAGAATTTAAAGATGTGACGTAACAACAGGTACGGTATATACATGGCTCGGTATGCAATGCCATATACAAATATTCCTAACAGTTTTCCATACCACCTGAGCATTTACTGAAATATGAGATAAAGAACAAAACATGTAACAGTCTTACCCGTGTCATCCACCGTAACTATGACTGGATGTTTGGGGATGGACTGGAGGTTAGGGTTGCGGCACTGAATTCGACCAGTTGAGGCTGAAGTCTGTTCCCTGATTTAAGCAAACAGATTCCTCTTTTATAAAAGGCAAATTAAATTTTTATCTTAACTTAAAATTTATGCTGTGTACTATACTTACTAGCAGCTATTTCATGTTTGTCTTAAGATGGTAGTGGTTTGAATGCTTAGAAAAGTGTAATTCAATGGTAAGAGGTAACACACTGTCTCAGTATGTCAAAGGATAAAAAATATCAGCGAAAATTTAAACTATAATATGCCTTAGCACCTCTACTTGTTAACTGTTACATTGAGCTATCTGAAACAATGTCATGTGTGGTTTGGATGGGTCATACAGCTCCTAAAAATGCAAAAAGTGGGGGAAGCGAGACATTTTATGAGGCTTAGCTCCTTTATTAATATAATCTTCCAAACATTGTTGTGATATGGGTGTCACTTTTTTGTGGATTCTTCCTGATAAATTATACCTGTGCACACTAAAACTGTAAAGGTATGATGATGTGATGACTGGGTACAGTATATCTAAGTATTGTAGTGATACAGAAATGTGTGGTGAAACATACACAATATAATACAGCACAGTGTATACCCAATACTATATGCTATCACAGTACGAATGATTTGCTATTACTCAATATTAATAATTGATACTGAGGGATAAAAATTATCATGAAACAAGGAATACTTCATAATGCACTGTTCATACTTTCTACTCTACAAGAAACTCCTTTTAACAGACACCTGCACCAACTATCTGATTAATATGTAACTAAAACTCCAGTGTTTTACATTACTTTCATCATTCTATATTGTTTAATATCACAGTATTTACATTATTTGTTATGTACAGGATAGTATTGTTGTTTTGTATGGGTGGGGTTGTGCTTTAACCTAACCTAAACTATAGAATTAGCACTGTTCTGAATTACGAACAGGGTCCAAGAATATAACCTGCTCACAACTTGGGGACTGCCTGTACAATAATTTTTTAGATATTAGTTATCATTTTTAAGGAATATACAACACACAAAAAAATAAACTTCTTACCAAGCAGCTTTAATGTATGATCCCTTCAAGCAAGTCATGATGCCATCGACGTATGTTGTTTTAAGTTTGTTGAGAAGACGATGGTGCAACACAAGACCTGGCAAGGGGTGGCAGTCTACTATACGTCTTAACTATGGTCAGGAAAAAAGAGAATATTGTCAGAATATGAACGCCTTTTGGTTATACGTACATCATAAAAGCAAATCACCCCATTAAAGAAGTTAAACAGAGATAAATTCATAACACACAGACCAGAGGAAATACTTGCTAATAATGCACAACAGACATGTGACCGACCGCCCAAGTGGGTGACACGATAATCAAACAATCATCACACATATCTTTGAATACAAGAAAATGCTTACTCAGTTTTACATCTAAACAAAAGCATTACACTGCCAGAAAATGTTCAATTGTTGGTTGGCTAAAATTATTCTAATAATATGACAATTTGAATAACCTGATATGAAACTTTTTTTAAAACAGCACAGCTGAACAGATCTCGGAGTGGTCTAAAATTTTAAACAAGATGAAATCCTGCAACTCTTGAACATAAAAGGCCTAAACTTCAACCTTACCACATGTCATAAAAAAAAGAGACACAATAAAAGGTATAGACCACTACTTCCCTGTGAATAAAATCCTATAAAATATTTCAACTGAAGCTGTGGAAACAAAAACAGTGTTAACTTCTAAAATAAGCCAGATAATGTCATCAGAAACAATGAAGTACAGTAAACCAAACCAAGCCATGGGATTCTGTGCCATGGTTAAGCTGCTACTATATGTGGCAGCTGACAGGTAAATTAAGTAGGTTAGGCAAGGTTAACATGACAGTTATCTTGCGTAACCTTATGATCATGGCTGGTAAGAAAAAATATACTAACAAGACACCTCATATACCCTGGCTAAGATAATGACAAGGAAATAGCTTATTACTATGGTACTGCCACTGTTGTCTTATGTTAACAGATACCATTACATGAACTTGTTATTTTAATCCTTTATTATAGCACTTATTGTTTGTATCACCATCACATATGTACCACCCACCATTGTAAAATACTTCATTATCAACTAAGTGAACTGTTACGGTATGTCAGCTCTTTACCACCTGAAGTAATTAATCTATGCCAACTTACAGCAGTTTCACAAGTGCTCTTTTGTCCCCCAGCGGTACGAGGGACAGTAACATGACTTCTGACATCCAGTTTCAAATCTTGGAACAGAACAGTCCGTAGCTGGGCATGGGAGTTCACATTAAAGATCGACCCAGAAACTTGGTGGCATCGTTTTTCAACCTCCTGGATTTTTAGCTGTTCAAGGTAATAACTTTTTATAACTACAACAGTGCTTGGTAATATACGGTATATAACTTCATTGTGTAAAATAGTATCATTTCCTTGTGTGGGGAGGATTAAAGGGAAACAAATACCTGAAGGAAGGGAGTATTGTTGAGTCATGAAAAAACTCTTGTCAGTCATCCATCCGACCATCCCATCCATGAGCCTATGAATCCGAGACATCACACATTGTTGGACCCATAGCTGGTGCACTGTGTTATGTATCGGATTCACGTGTTCATGAGTGTCAGGGATTATGGATGGGATGGAGCAATGACAGGATTTTTTCTGTGACTGTATTTGGTAGTGGAGAATGCTACAAGAGTGTAGAAAGTTTACAAGTAAGGGTTGAAGCACTCCACACACATAATGCCTCATATCACAAACTATAGATAAATATCAAGAAATCTCATCTTATCTTCTTTATTCTTTGCAACTCTAATAATCCATATAAACCTTAAATATCCACAATGTACAAATATCTTGAGATAAACTGCAACTAAAATCTTTACAGGTCCATTAATATTTGAAGATATGAAATAAATTTACCTACCTTGAGCATATGCCCTGTCTGTTTCAATACTTCTCTGTCCACTTTGATGCCTCGAAGTTCCATTACTTATTCAGGAAGGAATACAGAGAGAAAGTATACATATGGTCAGTAGAGCCATGCAAAAAGCAACAGTCAAAAGTACCCACCATGATGCAAGCTGTTAAGAGTTACCCATCAAGGAGTTACACCATGATACACAAGATATCCCATAAAAAGGAGGAAATTGGAAACCACAGCACCAAATACAGTAGTTACATTCTGAAGAGTGGATCCTATCATTCAGGAGGCTATAATCAGGGTAACTCAAATTCCCTAAAATACAAGTGTTTGCAAGTTAATGTGGCTAGTTTGCGGGACAACAATTCTGAATAATAACAATAGTACATAAGAAATACTGATTACTAAACTCACCCGAGATCTTTTTATATTACTGTATTTCTAAATGACAAATCTGGCTAAGTTTAGGCAATTTATTTAAGTTACTGCATTCACAGACACACACATGCGTGCCTCCCCCCATTAGTTGAGCTCTCAGGTGAAATACCCTAATTATTATATTTGTAATGTTGATACATACTCTCCTGATGCACAGGTATGGGTGATGCTGGGATGTGAGAAGCAAGAGGCATAAACCAAATACTGTAAAGATTCTGGGTCTCATCTTAGAAGGGGGAGCACCATTATAAAACACATCTACCTGCATTACACCTTTCTACAGATACAGTCATGTATTCATAAAACTAGATATAAGGTTATTCCAAGGATCCACAGATGTATGTAATGGTTGCTAAAGGTGTCCCCAAAAAGAGACACAAGAAATAAAGTCACTGGATGAGAAGAATAGCAACCCTGGAGGTGTGTCAGGATGAAAGTAACAGTTAACCCTCTATGAAATTTTTCCCTTGCATCATATTCTTCTGAGCACTTTCACACCACAGTGAAGGAGGGCAGGAAGCAAGCATTTACAGTACACTAAGGCATCTGCACAAGTAACAGCAACATTAATATAAAGCTCTTCTCACCAGCAAGTATTGGCATAATCCTCATTTCCAAGTGATAGAATATTGTCCACAGGCGAGTCTGGCAGAGTTGACTATACAAGACCTGCATGGTGTTACTCAGGGCTTCCAGGTCACTGTACAGCATGTCATCCTGGTGGCCAACACTCGCCTGAAACATTTCCATCCCAAAAAATCAAATGGTGACACCCAAGAAATCTGTGTAGTGTGTATAAGTATGTGTATGAGTGTTTGCTTCTATTTCAACAGTAAAGATATTCATACACATAAATTAGGTCTAATTTGTAATTCAGATAAGGAAACAACTGTCTTAGTATTAAGACTTTGTATGACATATTCCAATCCTCAATCTAAAAAATAATGTTCAACATTCATCAATTAAATCTATCATAAATTCTATGTAATTTAATTTTATGAACATCTTAGTTTGAACAAGACATATACAGGTAACAATAAATAATATACAAAAATAATTAAATAAATATGTCTTAGTGAGGTTACTTTAGGTAAAGAAGTTTTCAAGTTAAATGTTGTCTGCATGAAGGTGACGGGTGGATGATCAGGGTTGAGCAGCCACCCTCCAACCTTTGGGTCCAGTAACACCCAGGAACCAACAACTGCAAATAAAACACATCTAAATCATCCACACCTTCAGCACACACTGCTTTTTGTAACAGTGGGTTCATTAGAACAGACAAATGGATAATCCAATATGATTGTGTTCTGCAGTGTCAGCATAATAAATTCTCAAGACTCCACACAGACATTACTTTTAAATCAATATTATGAACACTGTTTCCTGTACACCTTTTTCTTTCATCATCATCATCATCATTTGCCAGTTTTCTACACATTCTGTTCATTGGTCACATCTTAAGAGTCTCACCAATAGCAGGTACTGGCCATGTACAGTCACTCCAAAAGGTATCTTTACAATTTTGTACGAGACAATATGACACAACCGACAAAGGATTTTGACAACCCTACCGAGACAACAGGAGCTGCAGTGTTCATTTTGAAATTCATCAGACCCCTTGGAGTGACTGTAGATGCTTCTGAATGCACTTGATCATGTACCAATGTTGATCTAGCCTGGACAATTCTTATTCCATAGCAGTTAGTTCTGACCACAACTAAGCTATATAGGATACTAATCATGCAGCTAAGCTTTATCCATACGGTAGTGAAACCGTAGTCATCCACTTACCCTCGTTCTGGTCTATGTCAAACTTCTCCACCAAGTAAGTGATGGATTCCTGAGCATCAAAGTTGACCTTACGGACTTGACTGGCCATGATGCTACACAATGCTGACCTGAAAAATAAACTCAAATTATATATGTAATATTCGAAAAATGAAAACCATTACATAAATGTATTAACTCATTTTTTTATTACTCATTTCATATATCAGAACTTTATTTAGTATATGAATTATATAAAGAGTAAAATTTCAGAGGTTGATCGTGGGAGGAGGAGAAGACCTTAAGGAAATGGAGGGATGGAGTGAAGGATGCACCGTGTGTGAGGTGGATGGGCAGTAAGAAGTGTTAAGGGCAAATACAGTAGATTTAAAAGCTATGACAAGTACAGTTCATTTCTCACACTCTCCCCAAGACCATAAATTTCCTACGGGCTGCCACAATGCATTTGCTTGTTTTCTTCTTCTCCGAGCCTTATCCATGACAACAACAATTACCTCCTACACATTAGCATTCAGTAATGGCTTTTAAAATGCAACTGTGATGACTAATTGTCCTTTAATTCTTTGAGGATGTTGGTTTAACCCTTTGAGGATGATGTTTTAACCCTTTGAAGACAATAGTTTAACCCTTTCATGATGGTGTAAAATATGAAGTTTCCTGATGACTTGTCTCTCCCACTCTGAGGGTTATATTTTTGAGTGAACACAAAACAGGAACTCTAGTGCATCTCTAATTTGGTCAAGTATGGTTTATGAAGAATTAAACATTCTTCAAAGGGAGTATTTTGGGAGAAGCTTCCACCTGTAACTTCCAATTAGTGTGTCAGATATTAGTCTATTGAAATATACATAAAAAGAGCACACTAACACAAGCCTTGGAGCACACTATTGCAGAAACAATAACTTGCCTTAGTTTATTTTTGTTAATATTGAGACCAACAGAAAGTTTGTAAACCGCAATGACTTTTTTATCACTTTCTTCTTCACGATCAACAAGACTCGTAGGTAGATTAGAACTTTTCTTCTGGTCATTCAAGAGAGATGGTGACTGGCTGCTTGGTAATGGCATTGCTGTCAGAGATAAATACAATAATTAATTTCTCAACTCTTGTATATCTATCAGCTGATATAACAGTGCCCAACCAACACTTGTGGTGCTTAAAATATTTAGGATTATTCTGGCCAAATGCTGTACACCTGTCTGCTCAAATTTACATAAAACTCTTCCATTTCAACTGATAAGAAGTAAAAATATATGAAGAGAGATAACTGATATGAGGAGACGAAGGGGTGTACAGTTGAATAGTTGAGCCTATGATACTGTGTGGGTGTTAAGCAGAGACTCTGTGTGCAAGAGATGTAAGCAACTTGGAGTGGTGGAGATAATGAGCTTGAGAGTACAGTAATATGTGGGGTATATGGGATGCAAAAAAAATAAGGAACACAAAAATATATAAAAGTTAATATTGTTTAAGCCAGTTCCTAGATTTTTAAGTTGTTACCTCCCTCCCTGCCCCCCCCTTTTTTTTTTACAACAAACAAACACATCAAAATTGACTGCTGGTTTTCAAGGACAGAGGACTAATGTTACTATCCTGACAGTTTATGCACTTCAGTTTACATCTCACTTACAGGGTTCATTTAAACATGAGAGAGTAATACTGACATGTTTAAATAACCATAGGAGTGGATGTAAAAACTTTTCTGGTTGAAATTACTGGTGATACTAACATCTAATAAATGGAAATTAAGCATCTAGTTAGTAAGTTAAAGTACAACATTCTACTACTGTATACAATAGATGTAAGAAATTGACACATTCTTATACTTTATGAGTACTGTACTTACTGTACTGTGTGTCAAGAGTTCATAAAGAGGAAAAACAAGTTGAAAGGACATTACATACAGTGTGTATGTTGACCAGTGGTGGCGGTCATCACATCAAGGTTCTTCTGTGGGAGGAGGTGGGCCGGTGGTGCTGCCTCCCTCGTCCAAGCAACTCTGAGAGCAAACCCACTGACTTGGCCACTTCCTGGATGTTTCCCATTGCCCACCACTCTCTCTCTCAGTTGAGAAGAACAGTCTCTGTTGGTTTTGATAGCTGTCACATACTGTATCACTTTCAATAGTTTCTGTTTTCCAAATAAGAACAAATTGTGTCTCCACTGGTCAGTATTCATAAACCAAAAAGCACATACTGTATATACTGTACAGTATTGTATCTGGTGTGATGCCATTTTCTCCAAAATTCCCTCACTGTATCTTTAATTCCTTGTGTCACCTGCCTAGCCCTCAATGCTTCACCAAGTATACTGAGTAAACCCCTTGTAAACACTCTGGCCCTCAATTAAAATTTCAGGTTCTCCCTATAATGCATCTACCAGTCCCTCTCATGAAAACCACAATATTTTACACACATAACAAACAAATAAAGATGATGGATAATATGATGGTATCTTGTATGTACTAAATGAGTCCTGAAAACATCTAATTATCACTGATATTAATAAATAAGTCTAATATTAAAAATAAAATTATCCAAATGACTCGCCTGTAAAGGAGGGTGAAGCAGATCTCAGAGGCAGCAGCAATAAAATCCAGTATCACAAACAACTCTGTGTCACGACCTAGTACATGTTCTGGACCACTTGTCTGTAAATAGATAACCCAATACAGTACAATGTTTACTTATAATAAACAGAGTATAAAAGGATTTGTTCTTATAATTCCAAATCAACATTCATTACTGTACTATGCATTAATAAATTACCATTAATATATTATTCATGACCATTAGTACAGCCACGTATCCTAGTTCATGAGCTTAATTTGTACACACATTATACAAACAGTACTAAGCCTCCACATTATTAAACTTTTACTTTACTCTATCCTCTTTGCCACTCGTCAACTCATTAAACTTTGCAGTACAGGTACATGATATCAATTAACTTCATATATATACATAATGAACTTTTAATATCAACCACATTGTCTTCCTACCTGGGATAAAGGTAGTGAGACAGGAACCTTATCTGCACTCACAGCTATCTTGGTCTTTTCTATTGATTTTGTTGCCTTTTCTTCCTTGTTTCCTATTTTGTTTTTGTTCTGAAACTTTTCCGTAGGTTTGCTTGTTGCCTTACTTGTCATTTTATCCTTTTTTGGTTGTTTTATCTTTTTTTCCTTTAGATTGAATTTGATCATAGTATTTACCTGTTTTGTCTTGTCCTCATTCTCTCTGGATAAAAGTTTTTCTCCATTATCCTTCCTCATTTTTTTGGTTACCTTTTTATCTTTATCCTCAACCGCCTTCTTCCTCTTGGATGCTTTCTTCTCCCAGCACTTGTTTGATGACACCCGGACATTAGCTTTCTTCTTTAAGCCCTTATGAATCTCATCTACTACCATATCAACATTATGGTCACTGTTCTCCTGTGGCACCTTCAGACCTTCTAAGTTGTCTTTTCCTGGTGAACTTATTAGGTTTCCTTCATTTTCAGCAACTTCTTCACTCACACAATTATCATACATGGCTTTCCTTTTGACTATAGCTTCTGCATCCATGTTAGTCATTTCTGGTGAATGTTCAAACTTGCTCAATTTCTCCTTGAAGCTTTTGCCAACATTACTTATATTATCTTTGTTTGTAGTCCTATTGCCAAGCACATTGTCAATAGAAGTTTTAGCTTCAAAAGAATTATTAGCCCTTTCAACTGGATTTTCTCTAAGAAAATTGATCTTGGAAGCTCGGGAGGGAAATTGTGATGTTTTCACTATCGGATCAAATTTAACAGGGGTTTGTTCTCTGTTTTCATTGGGAATTTTCTCATTATTATTATTATTATGTAAGCAATGAGAATTTACACTCTGTGAAAATTGTGGATTACGGGTAGGAATTTTAAAGTCTTTCAATTTTTTTAAAAACTTTGATTTTAAAGCAAATTGTTTCTTTGATACTGAAGCTTCATCAAATCCAGCATCTCGTGCTTCTGTCCATGGGTGCTGCAGCTTTGAAAGAGGTTGGGTCTCTTGTCCAGCACAAGGCTGGTGGTGGGTGTGCAGACCTTTCTCCTTTCCTTTGATATTAAAAGCTCCTGCACTACTACTAGATGAGTGTCTCTCTCCAGACTTGCCAAAACCTTTAAGTTTACTCTGATACATGTCTTTTGGAGTGGAAGTAATGTGTTTTTTGTTAACTGGGTAACCAACTATAGGAGATTCTGAGACCCTTTTAAAAGGCACTTTGAATGTAGATTTTCTTGACTGCAGAGGAAATATGTTCTCCTGTTTATGCTTGCTATTGTCTTTCACAAAAAGGCTTGGTTTACTGGTACTTGTTTCTAGTTCAGATACTTTGGTGGCTCCTAACTTGACAACAAATAATTCCTCATGGGTTTCTCTTTCCTTGACTTGCCAATTTGTAGAGTTGGTATTTGAGGCAAATTTGGGCTGTGGTCTGGCATTTTTGTTGGTGCCACTTGTGTCTGGATCTTTAACCAAATCTACTTCAAAACCAGTAACAGCAGTATTTCTATTACCTGCACTGGCTAACACTGAAGGTATACTACATTTCTCACTCACATCACTTATCAATTCCTTAGGCTGAAGCTCATTTGTTGAATGACTAACATCACATCCAATGTCTAGCACTACTTCTGAATTCAAGTTTGATTTTTCAATTGTATTGTTTTGTAAGTCTTTTGTACAGTTGGTCTCTTCCTGTGTATCATCTGTAATCTCAGCTCTTGGGGGAGTACGGCAGAGAAAAACTGATTTTTGGGCTACTGGAGCTAATTCAATGGCACCATTATCATGAACAATTGTTACATCTGAATTAAGTCCAATATCATTTATAAAACCTCCAATACCATCTCCAAGGGTGTCTTCTGTTGTAACAACATCTAGGGTCATATTTGTGTTCACGTGACTTTCTGGTTGAAGATGACTTAAGATACTAGTTTTATGTATTGGACTTAAGCCTAAAATAGGTGAGAGAGACAGATCAAACAAAAGAACCCCAAATGCTGTTTCATTTAAATTTCTGTTATGCATATTCATATCATTACTAACTTCATCACAAGGATCATGGCACTTTTGGGGCCACTGTGGTGCCAACATTAAGTCATCTTGTGGTGTGGCCTCAAGATCATGAACATTTGAGTTTTTCTCTCCAATGTGAGGAATTGTATGAATTATTCTTGTTGCTATTTTTTTAAAGCTAAACTTGGACTGTGTTTCATTATGAGCCTCTTGATCAAGTATTCTAACAGGACTTCTTACACTAGTTTCTTGTCTCTCATCAGTATGGTCTACTTCTACATCATCCTTGTTGGAAAAATATTTCTTGGAAGAACTGGATTCTTTACCATGAAAATTTCTCCAGTTATAATCTTCAAGATTTTCATCACCAAGATACCTGATGTCCTGCTGCTGAATAACAAAGTCACTGACATTATCTAAATGTGATGGCCAGCCTTCTACTGCTGCTGAATCATCGGCACACGGTGTAATTTGCTCTGATTCAGCCTCCTGCGCTCCACCACCACACACAGGCCACCTGAAAAGTATTACTAAGCCTTCACAAACTAGGCACTACCTCAGGAATCTTTCAAGGAGACACATTTCCTGCCTGATGATGAAATACATGGAGTTCTTAATGCTATTTATTGGTTGTATTGTTTTGGGGGTGAATTTTGATATAACACTATGATAAACACAATACACCCATGATTAGCTTCCTCTAACACAGACAGGACAGACACATATAAACTGTATCTGTGAAATATATGTGAAATGTTAAAGAAAAAAGTAAAATTGTGTGCTAAATTTTGCATCTGTAAAACAAACAGCATAAAAACAAATGGAATCTGTAAATATGGTGTAAACAGTGAATAAAGTAAAAAAAATTTCTGGAGATCAACATGAACATAACCATTCATTATCTTATTAAGTAAAACTGTTGGACATACCATACATACAAAACATTCTTGACATTAATAAAAGATACCATATAATTTCTTCATATTTCAGTATGATCTAAGAGAGGCAGCACCCTAGTACTTACTGAACACGCCCTGGTTCAGTCCTCTCAGCAGCCTGTTGAGGGTAAGAGAAAAGTGTATGTATTCTATAGTACTGTACAGAATATGATAAGCCAGATTCAGCAGTTACCATGTTCCTTACTTCTGGTATGAAGACCAACTGTTTAATCATACACATTATAATAATTATTTGTTAACCATTAATTAATATTATTATTTTTATTATTAGAACTCCTGGATCGAGTGTTCATGTTAATAAAAGTTAGGATCATGATTAAAATATGTGCAGACGTTACCAATAATCCAAGGCTCATTAAATACAGTCACTGTCCAATGCCACATTTCAGATATACCCTGTACTGTACTGTTCTAAGAACCAGTAACCTGACATATTTCTCTACCATGAGTTGCTCAGAAGTGTAATGCCATGTACAGGTATAATCAGAAATATATAGACCATCATTCATGAATAGTGCAGTACTCTACAAGGCATAGATATTTTCATACTGCAGTACTTTTTATTTCAAAACTCAGTGATTGCCTTCATTAAATCAGACTACTGTTTACAGAACTCTCTTAAAGGACTTCATTAAAAAGTGTTATGCTACTTGGACTATTTTGTGTCTAGTAAAAACTTCCTATATTAACTGTACAGTGGTTTTAGGAAATCTTGGGTGAGTCCCAACAGTATATACTAATGATAAAAGTTAATTTAATTTAATTTTGTATTTCTATAAATAATCAAAGACAATATAGTACATATTTGTTTGCTAACGAAAGCACCATTAGCTTCAAATGATACAGAATTGAAGAACAAATACCTTGGTTGAGGCAGGTGCTTGTATTGTGTTTCTCTTGACTTGTGTTGCTTTATCACTCATCAACTGGGAGTACATTAGCTGGGTGCACCCTGGTTGGGCTTCAGGCTCAGCTTGAAACTGTCGATAGTATACCTCTTTGTAGTAACCACTAGGATCTGCTGAATAAAAGCTGATAAACAAGAGTTTGCTCCCAAAGGTAACTAAATAACACAAGCCCAAGCGGCTAATGAGCCAATCACTGGTGAAGAGGATAACATAAAATGGGCCTAAATTCTATGTAATAATGATGAGAAATTATTTAAAGAACAGATTATCCAACAAATGAGATTATTTTGTAATGGAGTACAGTGCAGGTATATTTAAATGACAAGTTTAAAATTCAATACTGTACACCCTGTAAAGTTTGTTAGAGATATTGTATTCACACAGTTAAACTTTTAAAAACTGGCAGTTTTACATCCCATTTTGCAATGTTGTAGTTCTTCTCTTGGGATAACAAATAGAGTTAAAGGTGAGGAAAAAGTCCCAAACACACAACACCACAGTGAAGTCCAAGAGGCCATAACTCTGGGTATTAATGATAGAAAATTATGAAATAAAAACTGTATTACTTTTGATAAAAAAATCTAAAAGTATCGGGTAATTGTTATTATTCTGGGTTGTAATACTGAGTTAGTATATGAAAAAAATTAGAACATAATCCCAGAGTGGATATAACAGAAAACAATCAATACACACCGACTGTTTTGCGTTGAGGAATTGTTTGTTGACGACGCTCATGTCTGGGACACCTGGAGGAGGTTGTCAGAGTCTCCAAGATTACCTGACTCAAGCTGCTGAGCCCTGACACACAGCTGGGCTCAGGGGGATGTTTTACTGGAGTCAGCATCACTGTTTTCCTCATACTGCTGCTCCTCCTCCTGCTGTTAACACAACAAAGAGTAAACAATGTAAACTTTATGTGTAACCAGTACTGTCCACACATACACGTGAGACACAAATAAATGTCACCTAAGAGACTACACACCATTAAAACCTTCAGTAATTTATGAGAACAGTGCTACTACCAGAAGGAGTTATTCATTTTCTTTTTCCACAGATGTTCTTATCATTGTAGTAGTAAGTACAGTACTTTAAAAGAGGTGACAACTTTTTATTTTAATTATAAATATTTTACTTTTTTTAGTTTTTCTCATATCTACGATCATAAATCACCTGTAGTGGATAGGGCATGAAGGATGAAGGAAATAGGGGGGTAAAACACAGTTAAAATTTCATCATTAGACACAAAATGATGTGATTTGTACATGAAAGCCAAGTTATTTTGGGAAATCAAGAACTTAGCGGACTATGAAGAACTGCAGAAGGACCTCTGTGAGCTCCAGGAATGGTCAAAGGAATTGCTGCTGAGATTCAATGTCACGAAGTGTAAGAGGATGCACCTGGGGCGTACCAACGGTAAGGAGGCGTATCATATGCCCCAACGGGATGAAGAAACTGCACTAGTTGAGACAGAATGTGAGAAGGACCTAGGTGTGTATGTTGACAATGAGCTGAAGTTCTTGGGCCATTACGAGAAGAAGGTAAATCAGGCAAATAAATGATTAGGTCTTATAAGAAGGTCGTTCAGATATCTAGATGGTCCGTCCCTCGTAACGATCTTCAGGAGTGAAGTGCTTCCCCATCTGGAGTACTGTCACCCTGTCTGGTTCCCGAGATATGCGAGGGACTGTCAGTTGGTTGAAAATGTTCAAAGGAGGGCCACCAGACTGGTGCCTGCACTTCGGCACCTCAGCTACCCTGAGAGATTGGAACGCCTGAACTTGCCTAGCTTATACTACAGACGGGCAAGGGGGGACCTAGTTGAGGTGTATAAGCATCTCAGGGGGCACTACTCAGTTGAGTGTCCTTACTTGAAGCTGGCGGACGCTCGCCCCACAAGGGGTCGCAGTTCAAGATTGAAGAAGCCGCAAGTCCTGAAAACTGTGAGGTGGTAACTTTTTCGGAGTGAGAGTTGTAAACTCTTGGAACAATCTACCAGAGAGTGTTGTGACGGCACCGAGTGTGAGTTCTTTCAAGACCAGACTTGACCAACACTGGAGCGGGTTCAGGTACATTCAGGAGCCGGTGCATGCCCAGTACTTGCCAACAGTGAGTAACAGAGACGTGACCGATCACCCGGGCGGCTAGCGAGCCGATCAGTGGTGAAGAGGATAAAAGTAAAGTAAAAGAAAAGAAATTAAATTATTTACTGTAAATACTCCTCCGAAAAATCTGTCTTCAACACGTGTCATTAGGTAGTTTCTTTGGTTGGTTAGGTCAGGGTTCTATTAGGTTCTAATAAAAATCGCCTCTTTTACAATACTTACTATATTTATAAGAACATGTGGAAAAAGTGAACAAAATGACGAGGATAAGGAAGAAAGATGAGGATATCCAACTGTACACCTAACACACTAACACTCCATTAATATGACTTCTATCTACTCCAGAAATACACACTGACACATAATGAACTTAACATTAATAAGGTCTTGTGTTAATTATAATACTTCACTTACCTTTAACTTCCTTTAACTTTGAACACGCCACCTTGTAAGTGATGATCAACCAATCACCGCTGGGTTAAATAAATTCCACCAATCACATGGCATCTTACAGCTAGATTTTAAAGGATTGTGAATATAAACAAGTAATGCCATCATAGCATCACAACATTGATGATATATATTTATAAAGGAAAAAAAATGGGAAATAAAATCAATTCAATAATATGATTGTCTTCATTATTTAAGCAAATATACGAACATTTGGAAACTTCGAATGAACTACGTATATGAATTGTGTATTATTATAAAATGCTACATTTGGTTTATTTACTATTTATCCTGATAGTGAAATAACAGAAAATAGATCCACCGGACCACCAAACCGAACACAATCACCATTACAAACAGGTTAAGGTCCCCTGATCATTGGCTGACAAGTTGCATAAATATTTATATATATGATACTTTTAAATTGTTTGTCTCAAGGAGTGTGATTGGTCAGCTGTTGTCTCAAGGAGTGTGATTGGTCAGCTGTTGGGTGTTTATGTTGTTGTTATTGTGAGTTCAAAGTAAGGGGACAGTGGTGGTGCCATACGTTGTGCTGTCTTGTAAATATTTTATAAACCATTTTGTGTTTCTCCTGATTCATTATATTATTTAGTGATCCTGTATTTACAACATACAGTATATCCTTCACTTCCATTCAAGTGTTGAGATTTTCGGTAAATTTATAGTATCACTCCTGTCTTTATTTCCGTATTAAAAATATGTATCTTGTAATGTTTACACAATTCTAAGACTTTTTCTTCTTTGATATTTCCACCGGAAATTAAGGATAACCGAGATATTAATTTTTCAAGAATGGAGGAAACTGCAGCGGGCCTAATGGGACTGCCCAGTATGGACCAATAGGCCCGCTGCAGTTTCCTCCATTCTTATGTACTTATTACTTTCGCTCAGTCACAAGTGTCGCCATGATTTATGATTGGTTTACTTGTGGCGGAGGTGATCTGACCCCCTGCTCACACATCGCTCCAGGCCTCCGTCTTCGCTTTTTAAGCATCTGGGGCATGAACAATGGGTTAGGTTAGTTTAGGTTAGATTAGGTTTTCTTGGTTGGTTGGTAATATAATTTGTTATTTATTGTATTCTAAAAAATAAATCCAACTTTTTCCGTTATGATTGTTGGGTGGGAAGTATCTAAAAAACATGTTTTTTCTCGTGGAAATGAATATCAAATTCGTTCGAAACTCATCAAAATACATAGGAAAAACATATTTTTAATATCGAAATAAAAACCGGTGTGATACTATAAATTGACCAGATTTTCTTAAACTCAATGAGTACAGTATTAAGGTCATCCATCAAGTTCCTCCAAACAAATTATTGTCAAATTTTACATTACAGAAAAAAATTAGAATTAAAAGACAAATTTTCAGTGTTATTTTATATACTGTATATATATATATATATATATATATATATATATATATATATATATATATATATATATATATATATATATATATATATATATATATATATATATATATATATATATATATATATATATAGTACACTCAAGTGTAAAGAACTAAAATAATGTAATAAAGATTAAGGAAACTATCTTCACTTTATTTTTACTACAGTACTTAAGTTTAGAGGTTTAGTTCATTGATTTCATCTATTGCACTGTCAAAGATGAATAACTGGTAACCCCTTTGTTGGATACTGTATGCATAGTTTAGCATTATTTTTATGAGTTATGTTTTGATTTGTGTTTTTCCTCATCTTATTAACATTCTGTACTTAAAAGATAAACCCTATAATGCTTCTGTGAGATATATAATACCAGTATCAGTAGATGAGATGGTTCTCCTCTACAGTATTACATTTCACCTAAGTATCATGTAGCCAAAGGTTAAGAATAGGGTTGCCACTTTATTTATTTTGTATTACAGCCACTCCTCGACTTACGACCTACTTGACTTATGACCACCCGGACATACGAACGCCCCAGTCGTACCAAAAATTTTTCAAATTACGTATTTTCAAGTCACGACGTCAGTGATTGCGCTGTGTACTGACAAAATTTTCGTTTGTAATTCCCTTTAAAATGGCTGGCAAGCTTAAAAGTGAGAATTTTGTGGTGCTGAGAAGAAAAAGAGACACCCATTTTAGATTTTCTATGTATTATTTTTGGATTTTCGACTTACGACCTGGAATTGGGTCCCTAACCCCGTCGTAAGTCGGGGACTGCCTGTATTTGAAGAATTGGGTAGTGGGCGTTTCTCTCAGCTGTATACAGTAAAATACTTCCTAAGTGCAACACTATAGTACTGTACTCCTTAAAGGGTTAAATGTATGGTCACATATTTTAACAGTACTACTGTAGGTTACATTTATTTAAACAAAGTCTTGCGGAATCTTTTGTCGTAAATTGTTTAGCACTGTAGCATCCATAGCTAGTGTTGTTGATGTGAGTGGAGATTGAAAATTTTGATTTTTTTTAATCAAATATGGCATCCATCTCCTTATCTATAGATACAGAAAATTTATAGAGCAAAAGAGTGTAAGCTTACATATTTGACTAGTGTTTATACTATTACCACATAATGTTTTAACTCTTCCAGATTGATAATGATGGCTCCACCGAGAAAAGAGAAGGATGATAACTCAAAGGAGGAATGGATGAGGCGCCTTGAGAGCAGTCTCGCACGAGAAGTGGCCAACTTGAGAGATCAATTCTTAAAATTAGAAAAGAAGAAGAAATTTTTACAAGGAGAAGCACTGCAGCACCAGGTTAAATTGTCTTCTGAAGAATTGGATTTTAGGTGTGATATGTTTACCTAATATAAGTGATGTGATATTTGATACATAAATATGTTCAAGCTGGTATAAAGGAGGGTTGCATGTGAGCTGCACCGAGAGGCTCAAAGTTATGTCCTCTGGAATATTTTTTAAAGATTCATACAATTACTGTACAGTATATATAGTACTGTACTGTACTTCGTGATTTTTTCACAGATACAGTAATCTTATGGACCAGCAGGCAAAAAAGTCTATTTAATTTACATATTATGTATGCCTCTAGTATAATGAAATGGAGTTGATCATCAGCTGTAATATTTTGTGATTAAAGTGTAAATAGAAATTCTGTATCATAAGTATAATATAAAGACCGCACTAACATGTTACTCTTTTTTTCTAGCATCTCATCCTTGATCAAAATTTTAGTACATCTGAAGGTCATGTTATATTTTTTATAAATACTGTAGCAAAATGAAACTGTATTATAACTGAATCCTTGATGCAGTCTGGGAAATGGATCTTAAACATACCTTAAATGGACTTTCCAGCATGATAATCTTTTGCCAAGATACTGAGAAAACAATAATACAGTATTTTAATCTACCTTCTTCTTAGATTTAGGAGTATTGTTGTGTAGGACTCATCTGTCATTGTGGGATCATCTGATAATGAGCACACACTCGGACATAACCCAGTTCAGGGGTGCTCTTACTGCCAGGCATCAACCCCTCTTAGTTACTACATGAGTGTGACTGAAAATGTTGATACTGTATATTTTTCAGTATTTTTTTTTTGTTGCACCATTGTTATGTAGATTGCCTCCATCATGACAAAGTGGCCGTGTCACTACAGTATACTTGTATACATAGACTTAAACAAAATTATACAATGAAATAAATGGTATGTTGTTTGTGTGGATGGCATTTCATATCCAGTACTGTACTCGTTAAGCAATGATTGGTATATTACAAAAGTTAATTGTATATTTTACCTGTAAATATTTTAATTATTTCAGGACTCTTGGACCCAAAAATGGAAATGTGTTCCTTCGTCAAGAACACTTACAGGAAATGAAGAAACGGTTGGCAGCACAGAAATTAATCTCTCTCAGTGAATTGTCAGAAGTGCAGGTCGATGTGGAGAGAGTCCTCGGCATGGATGAGGTCCCCGGAGTTGACGAGCAAATCCAAGTGTCAAACAGCAACAAAGATAATGAGGCTGGTGTTGTTAAGAAGTGGAAACTGGAAGGGAAGGTGGGAGAAGAGTTTGCCTATTCTGCCAACTTCTTTGCAAATTATAATGTGAGTTCAGGACACATTTGTTATTGATATGTAGGTCCCAGTTCATAATTGATGTTCCCCGTACCCTATACACACACATACTAATTTGACATCCTAACATCTATACCCCATTCAAATACATGTAACCTGTAGAATACAAATTTGTCGGGGAATTTGAACAGTTATTCGGGTTAGTGAAGTTTAGATTCAAACTCTGGCGGAGAATTCAAATTTTTTGCATAATCGCTGTACGAAACCAGTGAGAAGCCAAAACAATATTGAATATAGTTTATAAATACATTTGAAAGTAGGGAACTCTTGCGAGACTGGCAGTAAGATGCTGGGATGTGTTACTGTAAATCTAGGTGGTATGTTGACCCAGCCAGGCCTGCAAGTACCGTACAGTATTTTTCTCCACATCTACAGTCAGCCAAAGATCCAGCGGCCCCACCATGGGTTTCGTACTGGCAATTTTGCCTGGCAATACTTGGAATAGTAAGGCTGTGTGTAATGATGATTGTGATTAGTGGATCTATTTTTGACTATCACTGTTAGGATAAATATAAATCAGTCCAAAGGTAGAATTTTTTAATAATAAACTATTCATTGCTATGTAAGATAATAAGAAGTTTCCATATGTTCGTATATTTGCTTAAATAATGAAGAAATTATATTAATGAATTGGCAACTCAACTACAATGAGGACTGCCACAAGTTTCTCAGATCCTTTTTTTTTTTCATTATTTAAGCTAATATATGAACATATGGAAACTTCTCATGACCTAAAATAATGATGAATAGTTTTTATTAAAAAAATTCTACCTTTGGATTGTTTAATATTTATCCTACAGTGATACAACCAAAAATAGATCCACCAATCACAATCACCATTACCGGTACATACAGCCTTACTTTACCAAGTATTGCCAGGTAAAATTGCCAGTACGAGACCTAGGGTGGGGTCGCTGGATCTTTGGCTGACTGTACATACCCGGTACAGTACTATACTTTGTGTTTTATAAAATGTAATCTATAACATGCATTCACCTCAAACAAATAATCTAAAAAATCAGAAAATTATTTCAAAAGTAATTTCCTAATATTACATAAAAGTCAGATACATATTTTTCTTAATGTGCATAATTTATTTTCTAACTTTAGGTCAAATAGTTGCTACCTGTACCATCAATAATAATGAAACATTGTTTTGAAACTTATTTTTCTTAACATAACAAACAAATGGAACATGCTTGTAAAAGCTTTTACTTTATTTGAAGTTCTCATGAATATAAGGAAGTACTGTACTGTACCTCTTCCATTTTTTTTCAGGTAGAAAATCCTGGTGGTGTCATAAAAGAAGTTACAGACTTACGTGTTAGTTCGGTTAGTGATGTTGTCAAGAAAATGATGGTCCCAGAAAGGGCTCATCAACCAACAATTGTTCGGCAATTTACAAGTGATCTTTATTACTTAAAAGTAAGTGATATTGTACTATTGCAGCATGAAGAGCTGCCCTCAGGTAATGACAGCTAACCTATGCAATATGATATAAACAATAAAGAAAGAGTAGATAGTATACTGTAAGTATTAGTACTGTACAGTATTGGTAAGTGCAGGGGGCTAGGTTATAAAATGTTAAAATAAATTATGATAGGTAGAGGAGTTTCAATATGTGATCGTGCCCACTGTTAGCCGTTAACCCCACTTGTGAGGGTTGCCATCAGGCATCTGAAAAAAAAAATTACAGCTGGATTCCCTTCCTATATCCAACTCACTTTTACAGAGTGGGGACTGGGCATTATATGTAGGACTTCCAACAGCCTTCATAGTTAGCAAGGCAGTGTTGTACCTCTCTTAGGTAAACACTAATCACTTGCCAACCTGAAATATGGGAGTACTGTATCAAGTGAGGAGACAAAAAAGGATTTGGCTAGAAGTGAATGAGTGCTTCAATGAATCACAGATGTATCCATACTGTGCAAGTACAAGTAATAAAATACAGTACAGTATACATTACAGTAATTAAAATTTCATATTCCTAGCATAATCTGTGCAGGTATTTACTTGTATCTAAATTCCCTTGTATTTACTATCCATGCTATGTACAGATGCTCCATGATGAAAGGGAAGACACAGCCCGCTCCTTGCAAATGGACATCCCCAATTTGGAAGTCGTATTTGCTTTAGAACCCATGGAGCTGACATACTTCCTCAAAGAGGATTATGAAGTAAAAGTTTTATGGGCCATCGTTTGGGACTCTAGAAATAACAGATTGAAATACAGCGTTGCAGTGGACTGTAAAGATGAAGGTAAATACTCTAGTTCACTAATAATTATTATAATACAGTAACTACTATAATACAGTACAGTACTGTATCTAGAATTCCCCCGAGTCAAAGCTATCCCAAGTTGTCAGAGTGTTGGTTTATAGAGGGTACTGTACACTACTGTATCAATAGAGTAACCCATTTTAACACCTGTTAATATTAATATAATAGTTTCTTGTAGTCATTGTTGAATTTAGCCTTCAATTACAAACTGGAAGTTGTTTTTGTGCCAATTTTGATGAAGGGTCTGGGGTCAAAATGTTGTGATGTTGGTATCAGTGCTACACCATTGTTGTAATTGAAGGGGGGTGACTACTGAGACTACAACAAAATACTTTATATCTTTAACATGTTTTTAGAAAGCATAATCCTTTTAACAGAAAGAATTTGATTATTTCTTACCTTATTATCTGAAGTCCTCCAGTGAAGTAGATCCACAAGTTACCACTATGATGTGTCTTCTAAAACTGTAGTGATGTTTTTATTCGAGAACCCTAAATAATTCCTATACACTAAAAATATATCCAATGGGAACCTAATGTTTTGTGTAAATGTAGCCTAATGTTGCAGAAACATGTAACATGCTCCTGAGAGTTATTAGGTATCATTATTTTTGTACAAAAACACTTAAGATTTGTAACAAGTTCAAAATCTCCAATTTAAATAAGAAATAAAAATGAGCAATAAATACTGTACTGTACTGACAGGACTGTGTAAGCAGACACTTCAACATTCCCATTTTTGCGATAAGTTGTCAAACCATTTTACTGATTGAAAACAAAATAACTTGAAATACATTGAGAAATAAATTGTTAACTTGTAATTAAGTGCGCATTCGTTAAATTAGTCTTACAGAGACAATTTACTCTAACATACTAACTTTCTTTCCCTCAAACAGTAACTGCAAGATTCAGTAGAGTTAAAGAAGTGTTTCCATTCCTCAGTGGACGCCAACAACTGGAAACTCGATATGAAGTAGGTGAATTTTTCATGGCTCTTTCCGATGTGTGAGCTCCTTGCTTAATTTTCATACTTATTTTGAACTTGTGTACAGGTATTTAATGTTGTAACACATTATGAGGACTCTAGTAAGGCATTTAATAATTGTGTGACTTTATTTTGTTGAAAATGTAAAACAAAGGATTACAGTAATAATGAGAATGATTGTAAATAATTTAAACCCTGAGATATATTATTCTAAGTTTTGTCTTCTAACAGCAGTCACTCTTTACTGTGTTATTAACTTTTTGTTTTCTTTTAATTTTCTGAAGTATTGTAAGGGAAGAGTTTAAGAATTTAATTTCATGTTCTTGGGTGAAATCTTTGCTTGTCTATATACAGTAGATGACTTATTCATATCTTTACTCGTGTAGGTCATGCGTAACCCTTTGTAAACAACATGTACAGCTGAGGCAGCCAACTGTCCCTTTTTAAAAGTATGAGTAGAATTTATTTTTAAATTTGTTTGTAAATAAAGATTCTGTACATATATTATTCTACTTAGTTCCCAGTAGACACAATGTAATGAAGGTCTTATGAGTCAGTGTGTGAGTGCAGCAACCAAAACTGTCCAAAGAAAAGAGAAGTTGTTGGTTTGTGAATGGGTACTGTACCTAATTCTACACCTGGGGAAGAGAAAGCAGTTGAGAACAGTGACAGCCACACTGCCTCCTTCATTACTGGAGGTTTAATACATGGTGTGCCTATCTGCACTGCCTCTGATCACCCATCTCGCTTATGAGACTAACTTTCACTTTTCTTTATAAACCCATATTAATTTGAGTTTTTATTATGTCCACATTTATACAGTCAATAATAGTCAACACCATAAAGAAGTTTTGGGATAAACATCATCAATGAAGGTTAAGTCACATATTTGACCAATCACTTGAAAAACTAAATGAGTGGGGGTCACCTGTCTCAAATATACCATTATGTTTCCAACCATCTCACTCCAGCTTTGCCTAATTGCTAATAACAGTTAAAGTTTACTGTAGGGTCAGAGGGGTCATGACCTAAAGGACTTGTACTTGAGGTGATATAATATGCATTCCAGGGTGCTTGCTTGACCTAAGGTTTGAAGCAAAATACATATTCCAGGATGCTCACAAGCATATTTCATAATTAAAGAGTTTAAAGTATTAGCAAAAACACTGAAGTGATTTTATTTTGAAGTGTATTTGGTGGGCACCCTACTGTACAGGTTTTGGGATGTGGAGGGTCCTAATTTTTGCATAATTAAGTGTAACAGTGCTATAATTTCCATGTACAGTCATCCCCTGCAATATGGATATTCAAGTTGTATAATTTTGCACATGCAAAATTTGAACTATGCGGAAATGGTGTAAATTTTCAACACAAAACGCAACTCGGAATTGAAATTTTGCTGAACTTATAATTTCCTTCATATGTTATGTTTGTCCACTTATTTGATACTGCATCAGTCAGTGTATTTCATACTTGTACAGTACTTGTCCTTTCTGTTTCATGTGAACATTCAATTAACTCAGCTTGTTTTGAGTACCGTTATGCTATCTCAGTTGTCAAAGTTGTCATATTCCAGATTGTGCAGTGCACCCATGTTCAAGATGTTTGGAAAGAGACCAGTGCTAAAAGAGCCTGTAAAGCCATTACCTTATGTGTAAACTGATATGCCAGTGAGGTGAGGCAGACAGCTGAACTTCCACTCTGTCTTCCTCCAATAACTCCTTTTCTACCACTTCCACCTCAAACACTGATAATCATCATTTGTGATAAGTTGTTTCCTAACCTTTTTGTTTATTGATAGAATACTATTACATCTTAAGAAGTCCAGTTATACATACAAGGTAATGGCTTTGTGGACACTTTTAACACTCCTGCTGCCAGATGTAATTAATGACATCATTCCAGATTTCTTAAGCAGGGGTGTTACACTGCACAGTCTGGAATATACAATAACTTTAAAAACTAAGAGCATAACTATGCTCAAAACAAGCAGAGTTACCTGCATACTCACACCTGACAAACATTGTGAGTACAGTACTGGGATGTGCACTACAAGTAATACAAATCATATACAATATAATATTTGCAAAACAAAATCTTTCCTTATGACTGTCCTGTATAGTGGTCATAGATTACAAATTCTACAACCTGGTTGTCTTGAATGTGGAGGTGACTGTATTTACCATAATCTTTTTTCAAGCCACAAAATTAAAAATATAATTATCATATATCAACACAGCCCACTAAAGTAAAAAAAAAAAAAAAAAACACTGTGTAAGCCTTGACAAAACATGGATTAAAAACACTGATGTCCGATTTTAAAATATATTTTATCAATCAACATGTGAGGACAAAATAGCAAATAGTACAATCATGTCATGTCAAAAAATCATTCATATTATAAAATTAATACCAAGCTGATAACAATAATATGGATCCATCAATATCTGGCCTTATTTATTTCCTCTGGTTAACTCAGCTTCACTATTTGAGAACTATAAATTAATTCCTTATAAGACAACATCCCACTTACAGACATTCCTTCTATAGAGCTGTAGATGTGTTGCTGGAGAACAGAGCACCCTAAGAAGTAGTTAAACAAGGTTCCATTAGCGATGTATTCACCATAACCCTGACGAGTGATACGTGACGGCTTCATGGGTGTTAGTAATGACACTAAAAATGATACAGTACTGTGCACATGAATAAAATGAATAATTTTGAAAGGTAATGGACATGAATAACACTAAGTTATGTACTCACCCGTGCATTCTGTTGTTGCTTGCGTGAGATTGACCACTAACCGCTGTCACTCCTAACATGGTCCTACTCCTACAGGAAGCCTAACGGGCACTTCGTCTTTTCCGATAAAATAGTGAAAATTTGTCTTGGTTACTGATAACAAAGTGGTGGATTAGGCCAAACTATGACCAATACCAAGTTTGACGCTCACCACCTCCATACACCTTATAATATGTACAGTGTATTTTTAAATCCCTTCTGATATTTTAACTTGACTCCTTGCTCACATTACCAGTGATATCACTTGCAAGACTTTCTCCAGACATTATGGGTCAACATGAGTTAGTATCACAGTGGAATACACACATTTGTGGGAAACATTCAAAACTTGGGTGCTGATTGGCTGAGCAGTAATCCACTCATTGGTTGAGTGAATGGCTAAAAAAAAAAGAAGCATTGCATTGTCTCGTGCAAAACTTTTATGTCATATCATTTTTGTTATATGTATATACTGTACAGTAATATATATATATATATATATATATATATATATATATATATATATATATATATATATATATATATATATAAAATTATTTCGTCTTTATTCAAGACATCTTGAATAAAGGCAATAAAGGTTATTTATTTATTTATCAAGATTTATCGTTTTCATTGTGGATTTACATGAAATATATATATATATATATATATATATATATATATATATATATATATATATATATATATATATATACAGTACACACATATATATATATATATATATACTGTACAGTGCAGTATGCCCTGACATTTTGCGGATTTTTAATTTGTGGTCCTTGATTATTCATGGATGACACTGGATGTACCCAAGAATGTCTGTGTGTAGTTTTAAAGTTGCCGGCATTTTTGCGGCTGGGACAGGAAGCCATTCATTCTAGAGACAGTAATTTCTTTTACCTGTATTGTATATGTGGTGTGTGTGTGTTTCTACACACATATACCTGTACAGTACCTGTACAGGTAAAATAAATAATTGTCATAAGGGCAAACACAAAGGGAATATACATTTATTTGCACACGAGTAAAAATGTACCCCCTCCCCCCTCCTGGTTATCAAATTATATTCACAGGTTTGGCTATTCTCTGCCATTTTGAGACCCAAACCCCCGTGAATTTTTAGGGGTATGTCTGGACATATGCTCATAACTTTCTCTGTCTTTAAATACCTAGATATAATAAATCTCTAAACATTAATTTACATTTCAGTGTACCTTACATTTGAACTGTTTTGGACCATCTTTCAGGTTTGTAATATCGAGATTATTTTAATATATTCCGTATTTTCCAAAAAAAAATAAATTTTTCAAGATAAAGATCACCTCATGACAAGCGAGTGGTCACTTGGTCCACTCAGAAATACAGTAATATCTCCATTAGCCGGAATCCCTCAAACCAGGAACTCTCCGAGTCGGAATTTAAATTTTCTTAGAAAATTTTTCCCAAAGCTGTAATTTTCCGGAAAATTCCGGCTTTGGGAAACATTTTTGAGGGGCACATTTTCCGGATAATAACGAGAAAATTTTCCCGATACCCGGAAAATTCCGGGGATGGGGGAGTTTTTTCCGGGTTTGAGAGATGATGTAAGGGGCAATTTCTGGAACTTATAAAAATATTTTTCCGTTACCCGGAAAATTCCGGGGATGAGGGATTTTTTCCGGCTTTAAGAGAGTCGTCTCATTACCCGGAAATCTCTCATTCCCAGAAGTGTTCTGCACCATTTGTTCTGGCTAATGGGAATAGCACTGTGTTTGGGATATCTCAGAAAATTCCCAGCGATTAGACATTTACTTAAGATAGCACACTTTGAGTATGAAAGCAAAGTTCTATTTGCATTTTGTCAATGAAGTTCCTTTTAATGGTGATCTGTAACATGCTGTAATGACTAGTACAGTACCAGAGTTAGGGTTGGATTAAGGTCTCAGAAATGTTGCAGGTTAACACTGAGCCACCCCAGGACATCTATGAGTCTTAACACAGAGTAGTCACCTCTGTTTAGCTTTCATTTTGGTCTCAGGGGACATTCAAAAGAGATCAGACCAGTAGTCTAAAAAATCAACTAAGAGAAATCAATTACTGTACAGTACTTTACTCTCTCTATTATTGTACACTGATCTTGTGTTTTCTCTGTTACTTTCCAGTTTGTGATGTTTAAATATATTAAAGCAAAAAATATCTTAAGTGGTGATACAGTTAAGAGGGGGCTGAGTGTTCATCACAGCAGTGCAATGTTTAAAAGGTATATATTTCATAAGCATGAGGAAAAACACTCTTTTTTTCCTTCAGAAAATCACTTTTTCTGGGTCCCTTCCCCTCTGATTAGTCCAAAATATTGAGGTTCACATGTAACTGCAAAAGGCACACAAAAGGAACTGTGAATTTCATGAATGTATAAACTACACACAAGATGACTTGTCTGTGTGCTGCCTGTCCAGCGGCATCACAACACTGAAAACAACAGTTTACAAGATCAGCCGACTTAGTTGCAGTGAAAGTATGATAGTACTGTAATGGTATGATAATCTGCCACACTAATGATGTGTATAAATGAACATGAAACAAGTCTTTCACAGTAACTACTGTACGTACTGTATATGAATCACAACCCATTGGATAATCACATTTTGGCTTGAAAGTTAACATTCATTTCACAAATTTTCAAAAGTCAGTACACCAAAATTCCAAAAAAAATTTTTGATTCCTTGTTAAATAACTCAATACAAGCCATTTTTTAACTTGCCAACTGGCATGAATGACCGAAGATGTGTTTCATTTTTAGCAATCTCATAACCCCACACTGTCAATGCTTTAAGGCACACTTTCTGGATTATCTCAACCTCTTCCCAAGACAAGTCTTGCTGCCAGTGGACTGGAGCCGTTTTAGAGTCACGAAAAGTACTAGAAACCCCTCCATACTTCTGCTTAGTGTGTGTGTCCAGGAACTTTTGCACATTAGGATGATAGTTGAGGTGGAAGAAGTTAAACAGTTCTTTAGTCATGTTATAAGCTTGGAAAGAAAGGTCTTCATAACGAATGACTCTGTAGAAAGAAAAAAATGAGGGATTATATAAACTATTGTTCAGTACAGTATATCATTGTGCATATATATATATATATATATATATATATATATATATATATATACTGTATATGCTGTTATTCATTCCCTGTCATTGATGTATTGTCCAAAACAAGGCCCCAAGATATCTTTCTGGTAAACCCCAACTGCTTTACATATCTAGCATTACTCATCAGTCATTTTTAATACTGTATGAGGAAAAATAGTGATAAGTATTCATCTTATCTTCAAATCTCTTAAAAACCACATTACCCTATACTAATGAGGCAACTTTCCTTGTTGAAGTAAAAGATGGGATAAACTTTTTCATAACTCTTACAACAGATATATATTTAGATATGCTGTATACAGTATCAATGTCTCACAAACCTGAAAGAATGTGGAAATCTTCTCCTGAAAACATGGGCAGTGTTGTAATCACTGATCATGTCATTACAAAGCCTGGCAGGGTTGTCACAGTCAGGGTAACCTGGGCACCACTTTCGGTGGTGGCGGGACTGTAGGGTACCTCGAGGGTCACGCACCAGCAGTAGCACCTGCACGCCCAGTCTAAATCATCATCCAATATTAATGTCATGGAAAGCATAATTGATGACTTTGTATGGGACATAAATTGACATGAACCAAAATGAATTACTGTAGAGTTAAGGATTCATTTTGAAATACTGTACTGCATGTGCAAGTTGAGAAAATGAACAAGTGTATGTGGAGTATACTATAAAGTACCGTATATATATTTGTTTTAAGCCTTTCCTGACTTGTTTTACACTAATATTTCAACACCTGCCCATGCTAGTTAATCCCTCTCTTTGAAGTTTCTGTGTGGGAAGGTGATACCGTAGATAGCATCAAAATTTTCATTTACAAGAACCATAACTCAAATCACATGAACACAATGATAAAGGGTTTCATTGTAGTCATTACTACTGGACAATAATGAATAAGTACACACTTGTAACTTGGAAAAATCTTAGGGCTCTTGGGACACAACATTTTATATAAGTATGTAACTATAATAATATCAGTGATACCAAAATTGTATGCATTATGTCACAGTTTGTAGATGTTACTTGAAGATTTTTTCATTGACTGCTACTAATAATTTGATAGTTAAGAACAGCATAACTTTGGATGACTGTTAAGCTATAATAAATCTAGTTCAAGAAATTACTGTACATTATAATGTTTCCTAATCAAAAATATCAAAACTGTTGATGTAGGTAATGTCTTTTAATGATCTGGAAGTTGTATTTTATTAGTGCATAAAAATCGACATGTGAACATCAAATACTCCTCCAAACACTGGCTGCAGAGATAAGATGAGGAACCTATTACAGCACAGTACTACAGTATACTTATTATGGATACTAATGATTTACTTGGAGTATTATATAATACTGTATGCAAATTGAAGATATGAGCAAGATTGTGTGGGTATTGTCACTGTTTTTTTCTCTTGCCTTTTGCCCTTCTCTTGCACCACTCACTGCAATTATTCCCCACTTTTTTTAGGTGTTCTATTACCCTTGATACACTCCACATAATATAAGATGAATTTTTAGATAGGTGAACTTAACATTAAAAGTGCATTCTATACCGAGAAACTTCTCCTATAATAAGAACTGTATTCATAAAATACAGTACAGTATACTTTAGTTAGAAACCATTATAAGAAAGTATGGTATAATTACAGTTAACCCCCTTTACCACTGTAACATACATGAAATGAACTGTTCACAACAACATAGTTTGTGAGTGAAAAATTATGTCTTTCATTTACCATTAGAGGCTTACTGAGGTGTTCTGCCCTCATCAATATAACTTAGTATTAATATTTATATGCCTCTTATCCATTGTCTCCAGCTAGGTTCCTCACATCCTTTGTCTTTTTAAAGCAATAACAAACATCTTCCATAGCTTAAATTAGCAATTAAACGCAAAATTTGTCTAATAAGTGAATCTAGAACTCACGTTTTATCCTCAAGAAACTCCTTTGTGAGATTAAGTCGGAGTCTGACTGTCTTGAGGGACTGGAATGGAAAAAGTCTGCAGAACGGTGTCAGGAAATCAGGCTTCCAGCACAGATTTGGAAACGAGGCGCAGTAATTCCACAGTGGTTTGTTGTGCATGAACAGATATGGGTGTTCTGGCCCATAATTCAGGTAGTTCTCTGGGAAGAAGATAAGATAAAAATACACTGTACAGTATTACTGGCAAATAAGGTAATAACTTACACTGTTTCTAGCTAAATAAACCGTGGCAAATGTTCATCAATTACCTGTTACGGTAGTTTACTTGTTTTTGAGTTCATCTATCACCACTTACAAGTTTCTCAGAATTTTTAACCTACAGATCTTTGCACTACCACAGTATTATTAAAATTGTTTTACTGTGCTGTACTGTGAATATTGTATTAAAGCAAGGACTAATCATACCCATAAGTAATAAAACTGAATATTTCTTATGGTAAACTTGTTACTAAGAATGTATTCAGTTAGGAAAATACTGTACAGTAGGGATGTCTCACAAAAGTCTCATGAACAAAAATACATGATTTATGGAGCTCTTGGAGGACAAATAATAAATTATGATACTTTTTTAATGCAAGGGTTAGATAAATTGAGGTTATAGCAAAAGTACAGTAGAATATAATGACAATTTTTGATAACTACACCAGACAGCCGCACATATTGTTCTTCACTACTCCAACTTACCCATGTCAGTGTAGTTGCAAGTGAGAAGATTTCGCAAATTGTGGACTGCCAGCTCTGCAACCTTCCCATATCGCACTTGGGTGATGCCAAAGTCCAGAAGTGGTTCATAGTGGTAGTAGGTGGCAGGGTGGGTCTGCAGTACCTCACCTGCAGGCAAACATTAATCTAGGTGACTGGAAATATAAGTGATACTGTATTAACTACTGTGTTGTAAGATACAGTAGGTTCTTTCTCCATTACTTGGCTTCTTAGTTTTCTACTCCCCACTCACCGACAGTGATATAACTTTTGAAAATTTCTTCTTGTATGATAGAAAAATCACCTATTAACATTTATACTATAGATGGACAGAAGAAGTCACACTAGCACAGTTTTAAAGTAAAAAAGAAACTTGTGAGTCTGTTGCCTTGCACTTCCATCTTTCCCTTTCAATTCTGTGCATCTAAATCACTTCTTAACCTTTTCCTGCTACAGTTCTGGGTGATCAAATCAAGACCAAATGCAACCTCCCTTCATTCAGTCTTCCAGCTCTAATACATATGTTCTACTATGATGTACGAACCTCTTGCCAGACAAAGACCCAGGTATCTATCTAGTTTATCTCTACACAGAGCCTATCACCACCACCCCCCTTCACCACCATCTCTTTACCTGCATCAATCACCTTCTTATCTTATTGCAACAGTCTCTCAATATGTGTAGTGATATCTCCGTTAGCCAGAACTACTGTTTTGGTGCAGAGCATGTCTGGGAATGAGAGATTTCCAGGAAACGAAACGACTATCTCAAAGCCAGAAAAAATCCTTCATTCCCGGAATTTTCCGGGTAACGGAAAAATTTTCTCGGAATTTCCAGAAAATGTGCCTGATTTTCATCACTCAAACCTGGAAAAAGACTCCCCCCATCCCCGGAATTTTCTGGGTACTGGGAAAATTTTCTCATAATTTTCCATAAAATGTGCCACTTGGAAAATCATTTCCAAAGCCGGGATTTTCCAGAAAAATACGCCTTTGAGAACAATTTTCCGAGAAAATTTCAATTCCTGTTAACGGAGATATTACTGTAGTCATCCTACAAAGCCTCAACATAGCATTAATTCTCACATCTGCACACACTAAAATGAGTTCAGTATTGTCTTGCTAAAATTAAAAAGAAGATAGTCCTCATTACCCAGAAACTTCTATGTAAATTTTTTCTTCAAACTACCGTGTAATGCCAAGTGAATGTATCTAACTAAACGAAAGTTTTAGTGAAATTTTGCTGTAATTTTGAATGTTCTTATATTTTAGCTTAGATCAGCCGCTTAGGTAGTTGTTCGAAGAAGTATCTTTACAATATTGTGAGAGACAATATGACAACAGACAAAGGATTTTGACAACCCTACCGAGACAACAGGAATTGCAATGTTCATTTTGAAATTTATTGGACCCCTCCATAAAGATACTTTTTGGGGCAATTGTATACATTCATATACTGTACTGAATATCCAGTTATGAGGAAAACTCAATAATCTGTACCATACAGTATGGAATTTTAAGAATCTGAATTCTAACATTTGTGTTTATTTACCAATAAAAGTGGACCCCGAACGCCATGTTGTGATGACCAGGCTGCGGACAGGATTGCCTCCCTTCTCCATTACAAGATCATCCATGCTCCTGTAGATACACCTTATTAAACCTATAATAATCTTTGAAAAAAATCGGAAAATAAATTGTATAGTACTAATGGCATTATCATCTGTATCATTACTATTATTGTCATTACCATTGGTATTACTTTTATTAATATCAACAGGATCATTATCAGTAAATAATATTGACTGATAATTGGCTGAATTATCAGAATTATTACACATTTATTAATTCTGTAGATTTATTCGTGGCTTCAGTACTGTACTAATACCACTACAGTACCATAATTGTTTTGAACTGCAGTGCACATATCACTTGTAACTTACTCTCTGGTAATCCTGGTCATGATTGGAAATCTCAACCCCTCGTGGTCTTTTGACGCAAATAGCATCATTTACAATCTCACCCCCGTCGCAGTCTTTCTATGCAGGTTATTATCGGTAATAGGAATGGGATGTCCATTTTAATAAACACTGGGTACAGCGATTCAGACCTAAATTGCACGCTTAGAGCTGCATCTGCCAGCCCACGAGACTAGTGGAAGGAACTACGCGATTGATAGGGCCAGTCTATTGTTCCCGCATTTCTGCTTATGGGAGGGGTGCTCTCAGTGTGAAATAAGGCTGAGTGGGAGGCGCTGTGCCAGCACAGGAGTGGTTAGCTACACAATTTGTGTCGAAAGACCGCGAGAAGGTTAACAGTAAAGGATATAGCAAATGTATCTTATAATACTGTACTTGTAATATAAACATACTTAGGTGTGATACATTACTAGCAGCAGCACAGCGCTGTACTGTGCTAGCAGCTACTTGGGCAATATATCATGAACTTAGTAATAAATTCATTGTGGGAGGCAAGTCTTTCTGATACTGTACTTGACTCTCTTACTTGTGCACTGGGTAGAAAATTGCAGTTTCTAAATGGGAGGGGAGGAGAACAAGGGCTCCCCCAGTGCTGTGAGTTCTAATACATGAATATTGTACACGTAACATACAGTAAGAACAGCTCCACTGGTTACAGGAGTGAAATATATAGTACAGGTCATAGAATATACAAAATTAAGTAGCATCAACAGCACTAATAACATTAATTAATTATTACAGTATTGGTGCATGACAAACATGTACAGTATAATATGATGAAAATGCTAACCAACTTATTAAAAAAAGCTAAGTACTCTTTGATGTTAGCTTCTATTACCAAAGGTTTAAAAATTTGAAGTAATTATGATATCTTACTTTGCCTTAATTTCAGGGTGGAATTTGTAGTCTATCATAGATTTTGCTAGTTGCTCTCGTTGCTTTGACAGAATGGCTTGTATCTTCCCCTCCCTTGTTGCAGGAAATATCTTTTTACCAGATGCTCCTTCTCTTATACCTGCTATCTCTTCTCGACCTGTGTCAGGACTGGGCTCATTTTTTTTAGCCACATTAGGGTTTGATTCCTTTATAACCTCTTCTTCCTCGTATTGATCTACTTCTTCTGCCTTGTGTTGATCTACTTCTTCTGCCTTGTGTTGATCTACCTCTTCTTCTGAAACTTCATTTTCACTTAATTTCTCCCCAAGAACATCAGCCTCTCTTGGTCTTGCTTCTTCTCCATGCTGCATGTCCACTTTATGCCATGTATCATCTCTTTTCCCCACTTCCTCTTTCTCACCTGTCTCTTTTTCTGGATCTGTTGTGTACAGTAAACAAAGAATTAAAACAAAGGATGTTGAAGTAATACCATTACTAGAATGAAGAAATATAATCCATAAGAATGTATATAAAACTTGTAAGGTCAATCTAAATAAAATGGGATATGCAGGAAAAGATTTTTACTGGGACAATGGTAATAACATAAAGGATTCCAGCAGCTGAGTGGATACAGTTATCACCAGTTTGGGACTGGAGACTCGAGAGGTGTAGGTGTTACATGAAAGTGTCACAGGAAAGGTGTGGGTGGTGCAGGAGAGGTGTCAGTTACATACCTTGGCGGGATGGAGAAGCCTGCAGGTGGCTGAAGACAAGGTTCGCCGCATCTCGTTGGGCTTCATCTCTCAAAGTTGTGCTCCTCAGGGTTGTGTCCTGGTTCTCGTAAATCTGTGTGAACACCTAACTCATTAATCAAAAGCATCATCAGTACTAAAGTTATGTCAGTGGTTTATTTATTTTTTTTATCCTTTTCACCACTAATCGGCTCGTAAGCCATTTGGGCGATCGGTCATGTCTCTGATTACTTTTCCTTTTCTTTTATCCTCTTCACCAAAAGATCAGCTCGTTAGCCGCTTGGGCTATCGGTCACGTCTCTGTTACGCACTGTTGGCAAGAACTGGGCATGCACCGGCTCCTGAATGTACCTGAACCCACTCCAGTGTTGGTCAAGTCTGGTCTTGAAACAGCTTACACTCGGTGCCGTCACAACACTTTCTGGTAGATTGTTCCAAGAGTTCACAACTCTCACTCCGAAAAAGTTTGCCTTCACAGTTTTCTGGACTTGCGGCTTCTTCAATCTTGAGCTGTGACCCCTTGTGGGACGAGCGTCCGCCAGTTCCAAATAAGGACACTCGACTGAGTAGTGCCCCTTGAGATGCTTATACACCTCTATTAGGTCACCCCTTGCCCATCTGTAGAATGTTTGTAAGATACTGTAGTTGGGCCCTTTGTGTGTGTGTACGTGTGTAAAGAATATGTTTAAATGTATCCAAACGTACATAGTTTAGTTCAGAGGTTCAAGAAGGACGGACGGACACACACGCACACACACACACACACATATGCGTCACCAGCCTGGTCGTCTTCTCTCAACTCCACCCAACAACGTCAGCTAGAGAAGGTACAGAAAAGGGCCTGCAGAATCATGCTCGGCGCAGAATACTCCGGCTACACCAATGCTCTCTCCACCCTGGAAATGCCATTCCTCAGTGACCTCCACCATCAAGCACTGGAAAGGTTTGGCAGTGGACTACTGCACCACCCTTGTCATCGCCACCTCCTGCCACCTGCAGCCCCCCACCCAACTCGCGCAGTCCGCCACTACAACAAAATACAGGCCATAAGAGCCCGCACCGATAGATATAAGAACAGCACCATCCCATCTATTGTTAAAATAATAAACAACTCCTGATTTATGTACTGTACAGCCCTGTAAATGTATTCAACGCATATTATATCATTATGTCTAAATCAAATGTAAGTCGTATATTTTCAGCCACCGACTGCAACTCTATTAATAAACTGTTTATTATTATTATTATTATTATTATTATTATTATTATTATTATTATTATTATTACACACACACACACACACACACACGTGTTCCAAAAGCTGCTACATATACTAATTATGAACCCCCTTGATATGACATTTAAAAACTCTTGGCTACAAATTACGTACGTTAGTCCAATCCAGAAGAATTCAGGGCAGGATGCAAATGCACTACAGGAGGATCTAAATAAACTGCAGGGGTGGTCTGAAAAATGGCAAATGAAATTCAACATCAGCAAGTGCAGCGTACTTAATATTGGAAGAACAAATACTGTCAATGTATACAGTCCTTAACAACATCAACCTGGAGAAGTCGACTTGTGAAAGAGAGCTAGGGGTACGTGTGAGCCCGGACCTATGGCCTAGAAAACAGTGCGTTAATGTTCGAAATAAGGCAAACAGAGTATTGGGTTTTATATCTAGAAGTGTAAGTAATAAGAGTGCAGAGGTCTTATTGCAACTATATCTTGCGCTAGTCAGGCCGCACCTCGATTATGCGGTTCAGTTCTGGTGCCCTTATTATACAATGGATATCAATTCACTAGAGTCGGTGCAGCGAAGAATGACGAAAATGATCCCGGGACTTAGAAACCTTCCATATCAGGATACGTTAAAGAAACTAAACTTGCATTCCCTAGAAATACGAAGATTGCGGGGAGATATGATAGAAGTATTTAAGTGGGTGAAATAAATCAATAAAGGAGATATAGATAAAGTTCTTATAATATTCGAGCAGGATAGGACTCGGAGCAACGGATTTAAGTTGGATAAGTTTAGGTTTAGGAGGGAGATAGGAAGGAACTGGTTCACAAATAGGGTGGTGGACGAGTGGAACATGCTTAGCAACTTTGTAGTAAGTGCTGGAACGCTGGAAAGTTTCAAAAGAAGGCTGGATAGATTCATGGATGATAGAGAGTGGTAGTAACTCTCGACAAGAGTTGCCATGCACAGGCCAACTGGCCTATTGCAGACTCCTTATTTTCTTATGTTCTTATCACACATTCTCAACAAGTACATTTTTACTGTTCATGCATGTCGTGGTCACAGCAGTACCTATATTCTATTAATGCCCATATTCATTCACATTACGCTCCATCGCCCTTAGAACATATTTTCGTACATCATCCCTATGAATGTTTTCTCCAACATTGCTGTACTGGTATCAGGGAAAACGTTTTTTTATGCCAGGTTTCTTTTTTTTTTTTCTGTTATCCCCTTCACCACTGATCGACTCGTTAGCCGCTTGGTCGGTCGGTCACGTCTCTGATACGCACTGTTGGCAGGTATTAGGCATGCAGTGGCTCCTTGAATGAGCTCACACTCGGTGACATATGATAAGAATTATGTAAAACTCAGTACTGTAGTATGTGGACTGTATACCAATACTAGTTTGACTATTTTTTATATAAAACTAAGGATCACCTGTAACCATCTATACTCCATACAGCTATTCACACTCCCCACAACTATCCACACTCCATGCCACCATCCACACTCCATGCCACCATCATGCCACCATCCACCCCATGCCACCATCCACACCCCATGCCACCATCCACACTCCATGCCACCATCCACACCACCATGCCACCATGCCACCACATGCCACCATCCACACCCATGCCACCATCCACACTCCACCATGCCATCATCCACACTCCATCCAACTATTCACATTCCCCACAACTATCCACACTCCATACCACCATCCACACTCCATGCCACCATCCATACCCATGCCACCACCCACACTCCATCCAACTATTCACATTCCCCACAATTATCCATTCCATGCCATCCATCCTCCATCCAACTATTCACATTCCCCACAACTATCCACTCCATGCCACCATCCACTCCATCCAACTCACACTATTCCATCCATCCACTCATCCAACTATTCACATTCCCCACAACTGTCCATACCACCATCCACACTCCATGCAACCATCCACACTCCATACCACCATCCACATACCCACCATCCACACTCCATGCCACCATCCAACCACCATGCCAACCATCCACCTCCATGCCACCATCCACACTCCATGCCACCATCCACACTCCATGCCACCATCCACACTACCATCCACACACCATCCACACTACGCCACCATGCCACCATCCACACATCCACACTCCATGCCACCACCCACACTCCATCCAACTATTCACATTCCCCACAACTATCCACATTCCATGCCACCATCCACACTCCATCCAACTATTCACATTCCCCACAACTATCCACACTTCATGCCACCATCCACACTCCATCCAACTTCACATTTCCCACAACTATCCACACTCCATGTCACCATCCACACTCCATCCAACTATTCACATTCCCCACAACTATCCACAGTCCATACCACCATCCACACTCCATGCAACCATCACACTCCATACAATTATCCACCCCCATACACTCTCTACAACTATCCACCCCATACAATTATCCACACATCCTTTTACAACTATCCACACAAACTTCCCTGACAACTCTTCACATCACAAGCTGAATTACTCACGGCAGAAGATGGTGGTGGGTGCTCTGAGCCGGGCCTAACTGGAATGGTGAGGTTTGACTGGTTGAGGATGAACAACAACAGCGAGGTGCCTGTCAGTGCCATCAGAAGAACCCGCCCCTTCTGTCGCCTGTAGGAGGAAAACACATGGTTATGGTAGGGGAAACCCATGGTTATGGTAGGGGAAACCCATGGTTATGGTAGGGGAAACCCATGGTTATGGTAGGGGAAACCCATGGTTATGGTAGGGGAAACACGTTATGGTATGGAAACACTTGCTTTTGGTAGGGAAACACATGCTTATGGTAGGGGAAACACGTGGTTATGATAGAACACGTTATGGTAGAGAAAACACGTGGTTATGGTAGAGAAAACACGTGGTAATTGTAGAAAAAACACGTGGTTATGGTAGAAAAAACACGTGGTCATGGTAAGTTGTGAATAAGATTATTCCTGAACTAATCGTTGTTATTATGTAGATCAAGTTTTCGAGAGGTCACACACCACAAACACTAGAGGACACAACTTCAAGCTGGCCAAGGCGTCATGCAGGACGAGTACAGGGGAAATACTTCTTCAGACTTACTCACTTAGGGTGCTAGACCTATGGAACTGTCTACCATCACAAATCGTGGAAGCAAGGATAGTACTGGACTTCAAAGCAGCCCTCGAGAAGACTATCAAGAATAATGGAGGGATCTTACACAGGCCAATGATCTTCCTTCAACATGGCCACCTCTAGACAGACAGATAGACGCATGCCCAGACAGACAGACATACACAAAGGCTAATAGTAAAAGTCACGACACAGACGGACATATCTATAGAGCGACAGACAGACAGACAGAAAGAAAGACAGAAAGAGTACAGTACCTTAGTCTCATAGTTACAAAACGATGCCCGGGATACAGTTTGCAGCAGTAACGAGTCATAACATGGTTACGTTACTGGTCTTTAAGTAACGCCTCTCAACATGGAAGTTACAGTCTTATTACTCTAATGAGTTTTGTAAGCTTTCTGATCATCTCTCGTTAAAAAACTGTCCGTTGCATTTTGTTTTTCAGTTTAATTTAAAATAGCGGCTCGAGGATATCGGTTGAATATACACAACTGAGGTCAAATTCTCTCTTCTTTTATTGCTGTTCCTTAATCTCCTCAATCCTTATAACATACAACAGAAAAAAGATAAAATCACCCCCCCCAAAAAAATACGAGAATTTAAATATTAAAATCCCTCCCCCCGTCTTATCTTATCACAGGTGTACGCTTAAGGCTGATCTTGGTTTGTAGTGTTTACTGTAAATAATCAGTGGTATAAGTGTGAGGGTATTGATTAGCACAGGTATAAAATGTAGCTATATCCACATGATTATATCAATGTGCATATCATTACAGACGGTACCTATTTTGTAGTCTCACACACACACACACAGTCTAGTCAAATGTAAATATCCAAGTAGTTAAGGCGTCATACTCAAGGGGTTAAAGGACAATACTCAAGGATTTAGATGTCGTACTCGTGGGGTTAAGGCGTTGTACTCAATGGGTTAAATAAATTTGTCTTAATACTTTACTGAAAGTTCACTAAGTGGCAAACTTATCACATCTACCGAACACACATTCTAAGGTACACATGTGTGTCGAGTGCTGATTTAGCTTGCCTTTCAGGATACATACACACCCGCGACACACCTGTGCTCTTCCAAATGCTCAGGTAAATAGAAAATTTTGCTATACATGGGAGGGAAGGGTGAGTCAAATTTTGAGAGGGAAAGTGTGGGGGTAGATTTCTAAGTGTGGTTGGTAGATTTCTAAGTGTGGTTGGTAGATTTATAAGTGTGGTTGGTAGATTTCTAAGTGTGGTTGGTAGATTTCTAAGTGTGGTTGGTAGATTTCTAAGTGTGGTTGGTAGATTTCTAAGTGTGGTTGGTAGACTTCAGAGTGTGGTTGGTAGACTTCAGAGTGTGGTTGGTAGACTTCTAAGTGTGGTTGGTAGACTTCAGAGTGTGGTTGGTAGACTTCTTAGTGTGGTTGGTAGACTTCTAAGTGTGGTTGGTAAATTTCTAAGTGTGGTTGGTAGACTTCTAAGTGTGGTTGGTAGACTTCAGAGTGTGGTTGGTAGACTTCTTAGTGTGGTTGGTAGACTTCTAAGTGTGGTTGGTAGATGTGTGTTGGTAGACTTCTGTGGTTGGTAGAGTGTGGTTGGTAGAGTGTGGTTGGTAGACTAAGTGTGGTTGGTAGACTTCTAAGTGTGGTTGGTAAATTTCTCAGTGTGGTTGGTAGACTTCTAAGTGTGGTTGGTAGACTTCTCTAAGTGTGGTTGGTAGACTAAGTGTGGTTGGTAGACTTCTAAGTGTGGTTGGTAGTGTGGTTGGTAGACTTCTAAGTGTGGTTGGTAGATCTCTAAGTGTGGTTGGTATATTTCTAAGTGTGGTTGGTAGACTTCTAAGTGTGGTTGGTAGACTTCTAAGTGTGGTTGGTAGACTTCTAAGTGTGGTTGGTAGATTTCTAAGTGTGGTTGGTAGACTTCTTAGTGTGGTTGGTAGATTTCTAAGTGTGGTTGGTAGACTTCTAAGTGTGGTTGGTAGACTTCTAAGTGTGGTTGGTAGATTTCTAAGTGTGGTTGGTAGACTTCAGAGTGTAGTTGATAGATTTCTAAGTGTGATTGGTAGAATTCAGTGTGGATGGTAGGATGTCTTTTTTAATATGGCACTACTGTAGATATTACCCTGTATCGTCGACCCAGCATCACCCTTACCACCACCATCACTATTAACACACACTACCACAATTACCACCACTGTCTTAATTCCACTTCCTTCAATATATATAGTGTTCAAGGGTAACATATGAATACTATGGAAACGGTGATATATAGCAAGAGCGACGGTACTTCCCGCTCGAGGGGGGGACACACACTAAAAGATGAAGGTGTCCCTCTCTCGCGCCGGCCGACACCCCCCCTCCCGGCCCCTCCCTATGAAAGCAGCACCCAGTTATCTTTCCTTGCAACCGCCAACCCCGTGGTAATATCTGAACACTTACTCCCATTATATTATCTTCCTTGATTCTTGTGTGTCAAGTCATGAGTCAGGAATAATATATCTTGCTCCTTTATATCAATTAAGTTAATGCTTCACTGGCGCCAGCAACGTTGTGTTCTGACCTCACTAGAGGAAAGGTCACGGCTGCTTAGCTCTGCTCCCGGGGATAATTATCAGATATGGCTAGTGCTACTGGTGAATGGGGTTACGCCCTTCTGTGGGCGAGTTAGAGAGTACCAAGAAAAAACCCTGAAATTAGAGGAAGAAAACTTGAAATTAAAGGAAGAGTTAGCAAGGATGAAGGAAGAAACGAGACAAGGAAAGCCGGTGAATGACGATAACTCTGCGGAATGGAAGGTTGTGAGGAGAGGGACGACCAAAATGGTGGTGAAGAAACACATCAAGGATGTGACAACAACAGCTAAGTGTACCAACTCGTTCAGTCCCTTGATAAGACGAATTGGAAGTTAGTACAGTCAGGGACAGGGCTGACAAGGAAGGCATAAAAACTTAAATTGTTGGTGACTCACAGGTAAGGTACTTGGACAAAGCCTTTTGTGGTAAAAATAAAAATAGGATGAGGTTGTGTCTGCCAGGGGCTGGGGTGGGGGATATAGTTGGCAGGATGAGCAATATCTTGTCTGGTAATGGGAACAAACCCATTATCTGCCTCAGTGCAGGAGGCAATGATATTGGCCGGTGTAGGAGCGAGGAGCTTCTTGATAAGTTCAAGGCAGCTATAGATCATATTAGGACTAAGGGAGGGATCCCTATCATATGTGGTGTCCTGCCTAGAAGGAGAGTTAGCAATGAATGGTTGACAAGGGCAGTTGGTGTCAACGGCCGTCTTGACGGATATTGCAAGTCAATATCAGTCCCATTTATTGACAACTGGGACAACTTCTACGGCAGAAGGGACCTTTATGCTAGGGATGGGGTACACCTGTCTCGTGAGGGGGTGGCAACCCTGGCTGGGTCTCTAGAGGGGGCAGTTCAAAAGATATCGAAGTCTTTAAACTGCTAGGGGAACATATGGGCACGGGGGTGGAGGAGACTGCAGTGGGAGCGGGTAAACACATTAAAAGATTACAGGGAAATAGTGTTAGGAATGATGACAAAACTAAATTAGACAGGGCGTTTAAACCTAAACGCGGTAAAGGGAGGACTCGGAACACGACTAACTTAAATGTCTACTAGGTGAACAGTAGAAGTATGAGAAACAAAATGGATGATATTAGGGCCCTCCCCCCCACAATACCGAATTCAATAAAAAGATTCCGGAGTCCCGCTTCTTGAACACTCTCCAGCGATGGTAGGAAGGGTCGTGGTAGTGCTTAGCCTGACGATGATGTTTGTGTGTCTTTTTAGATGCATGTAACTCTTGCTACTTTATCGGGTAGTATTTGATCAAATATTTTAACAGTCATCCCCAATGAAGACAGTCTGGGGAGCCTGAGGATTCCGTCAACGGCGTCCCGCAGGATACTTGAGGACATGAGCGAGACCTTCAAAATAATACAAAGTATGTCTTTAAAGTACATTCCCGCCATTGAGACTACATAACGGCATCACCAGAGGTTTCTTTAGCTGCTCAAGACACAGCCATGCACAGGCCAAGACACAACAACTTCTCGCTGAGCGTTGTGGACACGTGGAATAGCTTTTCTGAGCAAGCGATCACGTCTCCACATGTTTTGACCTTCCCCCCAAAATGGATGGGGGGGGGGGGATATAATTTTCCACTACAGAACCTTGACTATAGCTTACAGCTATTGTCTCTAGCCCACTCACTACAGCGCAGTACCACAAACCGTTGAAGAACTGGACATACAGGAATCGAGCCTTACTTCAGAACAGTGTGTCAATAATATACAGTATCGTTCATATTACTACCATTCTTCTTTACATAGTTTAGAGTGTTAGAATATTTACTTACGTTGATTAAGAGAATAGAATTACGTGTTGGACAGAATTAACGGACAGTAGTATTATATTATTATTATTATTATTATTATCATGGTATTACGATTTATAAATAATAAAGATTCCTTATCAATACCACTTAACACTTGAGGTATATTAATTAATTAATTATTGTGGAAGAGTTGGACAGTCACTGAGGAAGCTCAAACCATCCGAGGTTCATACAATACCATTCCTCTGAAGGTAAAGTTATTCATGGTATTTTGGACACCATTTTTTGTGTTCTACCTTAAGTCAACCAGTTGTGTGTGTGTGTGTGTGTGTGTGCGTGTACTATGGTTACCTGTACCGAGGTGAAGATTAATGGGTCAAGTTTAATATTTGTCGATACTATTTCTCTCTTTTTATATTTGTCATAGTTATGATGGCACTATGTATCACCTGTTGGCACTATGTATCACCTGTTGGCATTATGTATCACCTGTTGGCACAAGTCATTAACTATTGGTACGAGTAATCTATCTACCTACCCGGCTGTCTATCTAACCTGATCAAAACATGTTAAGAACATAAGAACATAAGATTGGAGGAAACTGCAGCGGGCCTATTGGCCCATACTGGGCAGTCCCGTTTACACCCAACCCCTATTGCTCATATAAGCATCCAACCTATGTTTGAAGCAATTCAGCGTATTCGAGTTAATGATGATATTTGGTAACTTGTTCCATTCATCCACTACTCTGTTTCCAAACCAGTGTTTACCTATTTCACGCCTAAATCTACAGTTAGTGGGGTATCTGCTGAGGCACTAATTCCACGCACTCATCATACATGTTATCTTGGTTAGGTTAGGTTAAGGTCGGATGATCTCTCAACTTTCATGGTTTAGAGAGCACGTGAGCCGACCATGATATCGGCTTGACTCCATCTGTTCACCGGCACACAAGCATGCACGAGCGCACCCCCTTCCCCCTCACGCACGTACGGCCCTCTTCAGCAGTGTGACTACAACTACAGAAGAAGGAGGGAATCACCGGGGCGTCAATTGACAAAGTAACGTGACCTGCAGGGGATCATCGTCCTCAATCGATATGAAAAATAAACTCATTCAACGTAGACTACAATAATTCTTCTTCTAATATGTGGCGCACAGGGGAGGGGAAGAGAGAGTTGTAGACTGTTACCTGGAGAAAGTGGTAAGTCAGGTTACTACAAGTAGATGAACACCCCAAACGAACTACTTTCACCAGCAAGCCAAAATAACCACACGCGTTAACACTGGTGAAAAAAGTAAAGAATATAGTACATAATAAGGATTTAAGTTTTCAGTCGAGTTGTTCTATGTACAGTACACTTATTGAGTAACAGCAGCCCCTGTCCACTCCGCTTCTCACAATGGTTCCCTGTCGTAAGTTAAATATTCGCCTGAGTTGGGTTCCACCACCTAGGGGGGAGGGGAGTTAAACAGGCTCCTCAGCTCCTAGTGTTTTGTGCATGTGTTGTAGAGAGCTGAACTCACGTCTTGCCTTGTGTGCACTGAAGGCTGCTACAGAGTCAGCAAAACTCTCGGACTGTTGATTAGGTTGACATGATCATTATAGGCCGCGAGTAGTGGAGAGTTGAGTAGATTTGGAGAGTTAACAAAGACAGTGGAGAGTTAACAAAGACAGTGGAGAGTTAACATAGACAGTGGAGAGTTAACAAAGACAGTGGAGAGTTAACAAAGACAGTGGAGAGTTAACAAAAACAGTGGAGAGTTAACATAGACAGTGGAGAGTTAACAAAGACAGTGGAGAGTTAACAAAGACAGTGGAGAGTTAACAAAGACAGTGGAGAGTTAACAAAGACAGTGGAGAGTTAACAAAGACAGTGGAAGGAATACGTAACTTGGCTGGTATTGGAGGGTGGGTCACCTTGATGCCGCCGCTTCCTCCTCCTCCTCCTCTTTCCTTCTCCTCCTCTTCTTTTCCCCCTCCTCCTCCTGCCCCTCTTCTTTCTTTCCCTACTCTCCCTCGTCTCTTCCTCCTCTTCTTTCTCTCCCCTCCTCCTCTTTCGTTCTTCTCTCTCTCTCTCCTCCTATCTTCATCCCTTCACCTGTTTTCTTCCTCCTCCCCCTCCTCCTCCTCTTCCATTCGTGTCCTCCATTCCTTTCATCCTCCCTCTCCTCTTTCCCTCCCTCTCCTCTCCCTACCTCCCTTTCTTCTCTCTTCTTCCCTTCTTCTTTTCCTTTCATTCCCCCTCCAATCTTTTCATATTTCTCTTTTCCTTCTCCTCCTCTTCTATACACGTCATTATCACGTCACTGTTCACACGTCATCACCGCGTCATCACCACGTCACTATCTACACTTGCGTCGAAGTTACCATCATTGTCCGCTTCATGACACTCTGACACACTCCTGCCATTTCCTTGTATCTTAGTAATTAAAGACAAAGCGCAGATCCGTGTGTGTGTGTTTAGGCTATGACGTCATCTCCTCCCCCCCCCCTCACCCTTCAATCTTGCAAGTACGAACAGGTGACCATGACCCTGGGTAGGAGGAGGGAGGGAGGGGGAGAGGTAAGGGGAGGAGAAGCAAGGACAGATTTTACAGATTACAGATTGCCCAGGAGGGGGCTAGTTTATTGGGCACCCCCTTACATCCTGTGCAAGGTGAAGCGCAGAAGCGTTTACAGTGCCCAACTGGGAAGCATGAGGAGTTCATGCTTGCCTTCTAGGAGGAGAAAAGAGGGGACAGGGGGTGTGTGTAAAGGAAGTTACGTCACACCCCTCTTGCCCTTGTTGCTAGGGATGGTACGGACGTTCACCGTTTGGTTACTTCACCTTTAGCCTCACCTGTAATTTACAACGATACACCTGGAATTACCTCAAGTTTACTTGGCAACAGTTGGTTGATCGAAACACCTGAAGATTCGCGCCCTCAGTGTATTCCACCTGA